TTTAAAGCACACAGCATTCGCTCAGCATCTACCTCCTTTGCAGCAAAAACTTTACCAATTTCTACAATACTGAGAACTGCAGGGTGGAGCTCTGAATGCGTATTCAGGAAGTTTACCATAAATCAGTGGTTTGTGACACTTCTGTCACACATAATTGAAACAAATTTTGAAATCACATGGATGCAAGTTATTAGCATATCTAGAGACAGTTTACGTATATGCTATTAGATGTGATCAAAATACCATTATATTTTACTGACAGGATACAATACATGTTAAATACCATGCACAATGTATATAATGTAAATAAATGCGTTGGTTTTCGATAATTATTCTTCGAAATTGTTATTGTAAGATTTATATAATTAAGGAACAATAGTAACATGCCTCTAAAACTCTCACGTGGTCACTCAGTGACCATATATGGAAGTGTGGTTTTGATCAATTAAACGAGATTTATTAATGTTTGATTAGGATTCCACACTTGCATATATGGTACGGAGGCATTACGTGCCCAACCTGTACGTATGTATACGTACCCTACCCAATCAGGGTTTTATTAATTATTATGCATGAATGGTAATATATATTAACAAAACATTGCATCTCACTATTGTTGCTTTCAAGACTGACCACTCGCACGACTGTGTCATCTCACGTAATCCCTCAGTACCATATATGCAAGTGCGGAATCTTAATCAAACATCAATAAATCTCGTTTAATTGATCAAATATTTCGTCGCAGCTTCACGAGTACCTAGAGAGCCGTCTGCCACCGTCTAACATCCGGATAAAAGTCGATGTGGATGACGGAAGTGATGAGGACGACTTCCATTTCGACCACGACCAGGAAAACGAGGGTCTGTTGTCGCGCGAGGACGTCAAGCGGTTAGGGCAAGAAATGCTCAACTCCAAACTCAAACCAAAGAAGAAACGATCTAAAAAACGCGCGAACTAGTGCACCAGCAGACGTCATCAGGGGAGGGTTGTGATGGTTATGTTGTATTTGGAAACCTCTGATTTTTATCTATCAAGTTTCGGACCTTTTTTAACCCATTTTTAAAATTCTGTAAAAGATAAGATGAATTTCAAAAATAGTCTTATTTATAAAAAAAGATCACTTCGGTACTCAATGTGTTTGTCTTTTATTATTGAAATATTTTTGGTAATTTGTGTGTTGACTTATTTTGTTAAACGTGTTGTGTGGTTGTACAACCTGGAGAGTTTGCTACAACTGGGTATGGAACTTCCTACCTTCTCGTACGTACAATCCCACGGCCGCTAACCTATTCGTCTGTTGCCGTCCATTTAATGGTTTATACACAATAATATTATTACAATCGTAACGGGCTTCAAGAAATAATCACACACGTTCCTACTAACCATGGAATCTTTATTGCATGGACGTAGATGGAGTACGTCGTGCCCTATTCGGATGTTTCTTCCCCGGTGTCTTGCATTTTTTCTTTTTAAATGTTAGTGTTATGTTGTGTGCAAGTTTTGTCATTCTTTGTCCTCTGTGTTCGTATTTTCTAGGTTTAAATTCCCCTGTGTTTAATAGAGTCTTCCTATTTTTATTTCTTCTATTTTCTGTCGATGGCGTTTTCGGCAATGAACTGGAAGATAAATGACATCACGTTTCCAGGGGTGGTACAAAAACAACACAAGAGGCCCAATGGGCCCGAATCGCTCACCTGGTATTAATCTCACACTTGTAATCTTAAAAATGGACTAAAATACAGCTACAGGCAGAATATTAGTGTTTGATTCATAAGAACCTATTAAAAGAGTTAAACATTTGATCTTGAATGTTAGACAAGGACATTAGGTTGAACAGAGTTTATAGTTTTCCAACCCAGCATGCTTCTGGGGAAATATTAGTACCCTGAATCTTTTGGTTATAAAGAACAAGTCATTTAAAGATTTAAACATATATTGACCACTGTGACCTTGAATATGGGCAAAGATCATTCATTTGAACAAACTTGGTAGTCCTTCATCCCAATATGGTAATGGCCAACTATCAACACCCTTGGCCTTTTGCTTATTGGGAAGAAGCTGTTTGAAGATTTTACCCATTTGACCCCTGTGACCTTGAAAGTGGGTCAAGGTCATTCATTTGAACAAACTTTGTAGCCCTGTGGCCATGCATGCTACAGGCCCAATATTAGTACCCTGGGCCTTTTTGTTACCGAGAAGAAATAGTCTAAAGATTTTTAAGACATTTGACCCATGTGACCTTGAAAGTGGATCAAGGTAATTCATTTGAACAAACTTGGTAGCCCTTCATCCCAGCATGCTACACGCCCAATATCAGTACCCTGGGCCTTTTGGTTATTGAGAAGAAGTTGTTTGAAGATTTTTACACATCTGACCCCAGTGACCTTGAAAGTGGGTCAAGATTATTCAATTGAACAAACTTGGTAGCCCTTCATCCCAGCATGCTACAGGCCCAATATCAGTACCCAGGGCCTTTTGGTTATTGAGAAGAAGTTGTTTAAAGTAAAATATTGATGCCGAATGGCCGACAGAGGGACACCGAGCCACGGCATAAGCTCACTTGCCTTTTGGGGCAGGTGAGCTCATAACCATTATAACGACAGTCACCTGTCCCGGAGGTTCTCGGCTTCCAAGCTGGCAAGGGCGAAAGAGACAGATGTATGAAGAAATAAAAGTATCCAGAAGCAATTAAGTATGTACCGCTAGTTTTCTGGGTATTTTTCTTTGTTCGACAAGAAGAAACAACAGTTCAATTTAAAAAAAAAAAGTTTTTTTTCAGTAGGAAAAGTTAAAAATGTTTATTTTACATGTCATAACAACTCATGTTGACCCAAATGTTACATTACAAAACAAAAACAAATCAGCTCATGATTAATATACTCTACACTTAGTGCCATTAAATAGTGACATTAAATGCATCTCATACATTCAGGTTCAATGACTTCCAAATGGAAATGAAATAAATATGACAATATTTTTACCATAACTCCATATTAAGGTTTTAGCAAATGCAAATTTTCTACGAAGTCTGCTTTAAAATGATTGATGAGATATTAATAAAATATGGTAAGATCCTGTAGTGTCACTTACTGGATTATCCACAATTTACTGCTTTTTGACCTACAATGTGCCGGATAGAGTTATGTAAAACACGGGAAATTATTTAAATAATCGACTCCTTAAAACATTATGACTGAATTTTATAAATTACTATTTATTTTATATAACTAACTGACAACTAAGATTGCACCCATTTATCACAAGTAAAAAATCCTCTATTAGTTTTTAAGAGTTTCTACAAACATACATATTATTCTAAAATATACAAACATCCTGCTTTTTTAATTCAATATCTTTAACAGGTCTTCTTAGCAATCAAAAGATTCCCTTTTTTTTAGAATAGAAAATTGTATTCTATCATTAATTTGAACTGCCAACTATCTGAATATTACATTGATGAGTAAGATGTTTTGTTGTACATTTGGTTGGAGAATTACAGCAGTACCACATCAACACCTGTATCACTTGAATTGTATTTACAACATTCACAAACCGATAGTACAAATCAGCCAACCCAGATAGTTTCATATATATATGTTATAAGAGGCACATGTAAAATATTGCAAATATTTACACCTCATTGAGGAAATTAATCAAGAAACTGATATTATACCAGAAAATATTTCATCCGACTAAAAAGTATACATAATGTAAAAAAAAAATCACACTTTAAGTGGAAATCTCACTTGAATAAACTCTACCATGCATTGATCTGGGTAAGTCCATTATGGTCTATAGTGGTGAAAGGGTTAATCATCAAATAATCATAATCTACCAATAAACATCACAATATGTATAATATCTCATTAGTTTAACAATATCATTGGACAATAAATTAAATAAATGGCGTCTTTGGGTGTGTGGTCAGATAGAGTTATATAAAAAAAATCATTGGTCAGCACTAATCATTTATCTGTAAGTTATTTATATTGTGTCACAGCATTTATAATATATTTGTATACATCAGGTTACCTTATTAGATCATTCACTCAAAAATAACTGGACCTCCATCAATAAACAATAGTTTACAAATAAATTGGTCAACTTTGGACTTAAGTCTTTGTACTGAAACAGTATCGGGGGAGGGGGAGGGGTATGTGTTACTTCATATATAAAAAATATTCTTTGACCAGAACATACTGAACACTTCAATATTATAAACAGTCGATCTTCTCATCTGATACAACTTTTTTGTGATGCATAAAATGTTTTAAATACATCTGTGAAATGTAGAATTCATAACCATGCACCAACAGCAATGAAGTTTTACATGATTCTCCAAATAGATACAGCTTCTATGTACATTGCAATTGACATGTCAACACCACATCATATCTCCATACTACCAAGCCTACCAGTAAAACACCCAAAACAATAACATAAATATATAGGAATCTGATAAAATCTACAGTATTAATATAAATTGGAAACTACTCAATAATGAAAAATAAATGATAAATAAATTATGATACTACTCACATACCTGCTGCCTTGGGCAATGCACTTTGCCATGTGTTCCCCATGAATAGAAAAACTATATTCTACCATATAAAAAGGGTGGATATAATGGTGATACATAATTCTTTTTCCAAATAATGCTTTTTCACAATAAACTAATTGCTTGATATACATAGCAAATTTCTGGCATTATACATCTTTATAATCCTGATTAGGATCTAAAAATCATTTGCAAACACTTTTTAACTGAACTACCTGCTTGTATGAAAATTGTAGCTCTGAAACTTGGGTATTCATGTGCTAGATTTGTTTATCTCATTCAGTTCATCTGGAACCACTAACATAATCAGGTATTGTCATCTGTTTTTATAAAGAAAATGAATATAATCACAACATACTCAAGTATCATCAATTAGTGGGTTTTAAAGTTATTTGACCGACTAATCATTTTTTATGTGATGTCACATTCTATTTTGGTATATAAAGCAGTGCCGAGACATTTTTTTGTCAATTTGAAATGTTTATAGAAAAGAAAAACATCAATTATATGATTGCCAAAGATTAATCTCAAATATGTCTCTTGCTGTTACGAAATTTTTAACATTCATAATCATGACAAATATTTTACATTTGAAAATTATTCAGTTTTATCATTTTAGAAAAAATGAGTGAAATTTAAACTTGTACTTGTGCAAAATTGTACAGCAACAAAATTCCCCTATATCAGCTAGAGACTCGTGATTTTTATTTTCCTAAAAAATATTCCAGACAACATTTTCCTGTACTCATGTTTATATCAATTTTTGTGAATCAAATATTGGACAACATGATTTTTTCTCAAACCTTGATAATTTATTACCACCAAATATTGTATCACTGATTGCTATACCATATAAACGATAATACATTTGTACAACAAATTAACTACTTTACAAAAAAACCAATCTAAACGTCATCATTTACTCAAGAAAAATGTTATGGTCTCTATGCAAAACACATTAATACAATAGAAACAATCTTACATAGTAAGACAACTTTTGAACAAGTATGCAAAATATTTGGCATACCTCAACAAATCTGGACTATCTCAATAAGTAATTAATGCATGCCCTGAATACATGGTCAAGCTTACTTGTCATATAAGGCACAATCTTGACTTGAAGTGCATGTATGAAGAGTTTGTAACGATTAATTTTTCTGCTGCAGGAGACATTCTTTCTCAGATAATGGTTGTTGGACACAATAAAGTTTAAGTGAATTTGCCATCATGCCTACCTTTGTAACAGGTTCTCATTACCTCATCAACATGGAGAGTATGTTTTGAAATTTGACTCCGAACTCAATACAAACCTATCAATTAAAACTGAATAATGCTTTCATTCATCGAAATCATACAAAATAATGAAAATATGTCAGAAAAAAGTGTGAGAATTTTTAATATATGATAAAATGAATTTGCACCAAGCATAGATTTTCATTCACCGAACACACTGCATATCAAACCATGATTACTTCATAAAACAACTCAATGGAATGTGAAAGTGATTTTTTTTTACATTTGTTAGTATACCTTGAAAAATGTAGGATTATGCAAAACAACTGTAAGACGATCTTCAAATCATTGGAAAAACAATTCAATATATGAAAAGTATGACACTTTTTGAAAAGGAACAGCCATAGTTATAAAATGAACACTTTTGAGATGGCACGCCTGATTGGATGGTCTAATATCACTGGTTCATTTTCTATTTGTCAGATTTTCTATATCTATTGGCAGTTCTACTTGTCAAGGTAAACAAAAGACTTAAAATAATTTGAATGAATGATAGAATGAGACATTTTGTGCGAGTTATATAAGATTATAACTTTAAAAGTTACACTTCACAAAATATAATGGATTTCTTATTTAATATTTTTATAACAATTTCAAATTTGATTTGAGGTTGAGAATTAAGAAAGAGAATATTCTATTTCTTTTTTCATAGTCAAAATTACAGTGTATCTCATACAAAGATAACTCTTATGCTTGACATCATTTTAGATAAACTGTAAAAAAAGTCTGTGAACTTTTTGTATTTCAAATTTCCTATTAAAAGAACTTATTAATCGCATTTTAATCGCACTACAACAAATAAGTTTCTTTCATTTATTTGAAATTGAAGAGAGATTAAATCCTTACTGTCCTGGTTATTACTGTAATCACATATCGTATTTACTTGTATTCACTTCCATAGGGAATTATATGAGATTCACTTACGTATTAAAGAAGGTGAACATTTCTATTTTAGATAAAAGTATTGCTGACAAAATTGTCAACTGCATAATAGATCTATCAGAATGTTTGTTTATTCATTATAAACTCCAGGAGAACATGTTCTATTGCACAATTTATATTTCAGGTGTCCAAGACAACAAAACATGTAGCTATCTTACTTACAGATAATCAAGTGATGTCAGACAAAAAGTCCCTTAATATTTCAAACCGACGTATTATCTGAAAAAAAACCCAATCTACAAGACTGTGTAATGTCTAAAGGGGAGAATTCAAATGTATAAGTAAGTAATGGGGGAAAAAACCTGCTGAAAAATTGAAATTAAACAAAAATGGTACCTGATATTGCATACATATACCTCAATACAAATACCCCATTATTTCAACTTAAAAGTCGTTTCTTTGCTCCTTTTCTAACAACTCTTTGAAAAGTCTCGCTCAATGTATTGAAAACTCCATTATAACACCAACAGTTTCTATCAGAAGGACATTGCCCTGCTCTTTACACACAACATGAGATCATTATATTCCTGTACTCCACTTACAGAAAACATGGACAAGAGCACACATTGTAGTCCAATAAATAGAAAGTTATGTATTGTAAATCAAGGGAAGAAAGATTCTGATGTGTTATGTCTGGGTAGAGCGGACTTGTGGACATGGATCAGCTGGGTGTTGAGGACTTCACAATCGATCTGCATCATGCCAATGTTCCCAGCTGGAGGCTGCATGGTTTCTACAAACAGATAAGAAAATTAATTTAATTGCCGATGTAAATTTTCATAAACTCTACTTCTTAACAACGTTTCCATTAGATTTGCTTCCTACAATTCAATATTTTGAGATAGCACTTCTGAGTGACGTTCATTTCTGCTTTGTTGTTATTGGCCGAAACCAAAGTGTGTACAAAATGAAATTTTGACTCGACACTCTTGTGGACCTGAGCAAAAAGTCAAAAATACAACTCCTTCACCTCGACTAAACTAGCAACAAGGGATTCCAAAGACAAACAATATGTTGACCAAGATGTGTGGATTGACAGGCAGCGAAACTAAGAGGTCTGATTATAAGGAGGAATCAACTTCATAATTTGGTGGTGTAGGGGAAGATTTCCTCCAACAGGTCTTAATTGAAAAGATTCAAAATGTACAAAAGAAAGCCTACAATTCAGCCTGAAAAGTTTTCGAGAATAAGTCACAGAGAAAAGACAACCGACAGATTTTTTCGATTTGTTTTCTCTCCAAAAGCTGTATATTTTAAAAAACAAATTTATTTGTAAGGTGTCAAATGAAAAAAGTGCTTAGTATAGGTGAGTATTAGCAGTCACTCAAAAGATGATATTTCCCTCACTGTTCAATAATTGTACATGGTTGATATTAGCTCCAGATAAGGGCTACAAGATCATGACCTTGTATATCTGTAGACTTACCATTGAGACTAGTTGCTGGCATCACTAGTGACATTCTTGGTCTCATAGTTTTATTGTGTGCTACTGCTGGTATCAGGAAGTAATCCTAAAACATAATAATTTCAGAAGTCTTTCATCAGTAAAACCACAACAGGCTAGGGCCTGTATTCGTGAAATCATTCTAACCCTAAAGCATGGTTTTGTGCTCAAACCAACTTTCTTGTAACTCACTTCAATTTTTTTCAAATAATTGACAATAAATGATTTTATTATTGACATATAAACGAAGCAAAAAATAAGTCTGGAGCACAAAATCCATGCTTGAGCATGAGAACGGTTTCATGAATACGGGCCCTGGTCAAATGAAAGATCAATCATTTAGTNATTAATTTCAAAGAAAATTTCACAGTTGAATGAAGTTTTACCGAGTTGAACGAGAGAACATAGAAGGTGTCGTTGCGTCGCGGAAGGGACTGCCAGAAATTTCTCACAGTGTCATTCTGGAACAGCTGTAGCTGGTTTTCCCGAGACCTGTCAAACCAAAAACATGTTATCAATACATGTCATTATTTGCATGAATTTGATTGAAACATTTTGCCTACATATTAATTGTAGGGCCTGGATTTTATCTGTATTAACAAATCAGCATGAAATGCAAATCAGGATTCAAATGAAATGGGTAGGTATACTCTTTTGTGAATTGATAAGAATCCAATTCCATATAAGCAAACCTAGTAATGTCACACCAAAACTGATGTAATTTTCACTACAACCTACTTAAGCTACCACAATTCCTACCGTTCACATTACTGTCAGATGTACAAGTAAGAGACAGCTTTACATTGGTTAATAGCTGGGTTGTAATGTACCTATATTGCTCTTCTCTCAGGTGACGGAGCTCCCTTAGTGAGTGCGAGGATGTGATGGGTCGTCTCCCTTTGTTAGCTGGCTTTCTTGGTTTCTTCTTTTTCTGTTGTTCATGGCGTTTCATCCATCCAGAGAGCTGGTCTGCAAGTCTAAAATGAACGCAACATTTATGATGAAATTACACAAAAACACATTACATTCAACAATGTTCTAATATAAGGAAAACCACAAGCAGGTTTCTAATAATTCTCCTGAAAAGTGTTAGGTATATGCCACAAACTAAAAACATGAAGTACCTCTCTGTCTGCTAGCACAAAACTCGAAAGTGATTTTTTTTGGCACATTATTGTAACATCAAATGAAATGAACACAATAGTTTCAACAAGGCTACCCCCTGACAAACAGCATATCTATTCATTTCCATAAAGCTCCTGTTTGGAGGACTAACTAAACTTGAATACAATGCTGGGACTTGTATGCCAGGTTTGACTCCTTTCCATGCTGAGCTGGCAGACTTGATAGTAAATTGCTGTTGTTTAGTTTCAAAGAATTGAGAACACATTTTTCATGAACATAAATTGTGCGTGATTTTACCTGATTGACTCTGTTTTGTTAAAGTATGATGGACAAGTGTATAACTGATAAAGGGTATCGTTGTTGATTTCCTTGGCGTGTTGAGGATTTTCTTCCATGAATTTTTTTAGTCTACTAAATGGATAATCTGGCATGAAGCTTCCAACTGAATATGTGTCTTTTTCTTCTGTTACAGCCAGGAGTTGTCTTCCCTTGTGAGGAAACATGTCTGGACTAGGATTGGAGTTACGTCTTGTAATATGAGGAGTAAATATCAGATCACTGAAATGTAAGAAGATCAAACTTGATATTTAAACACGTTGTTAAAACAGGTTCCTAACACCTATCTAGAAAAAGGCCCAATTGGACTAGATCACTCAACTGTATGTGTTGGTTTTGGCAAATATATAAAATGCTAAAACTTCATCTTAACTAATCAAGAGACTATGTCTTTCATAGCACTTCATTTGTGATTGAGGGTCAAAATCTAAATTTGAACAAACATGGAAGTATTTCACCAAAGCATGCTACAGACAAGATACATGGCAAATATCATGACACTAACCTTTATGGTTCTTTATAAGACGATTTACAATAAAAAAGTAAATGGTAGACAGAAGATGAATGCTGCACGGATGAGTTAAAGAGCATCAACATGAAAACAAGGTATAGAAAAGTCAATGTAAACAAAGAACAAGGCCGCTTTCTTGTATCACAATCCAAAGGGTTTGACCAGTTGGACCAGAGTTGTTCATTTATGAAATAAGGTCAGACCTAGTAATCTAATGTTGCTTTCAGATGAGCCTTGACAAAGCCTTGCAAGACCTGCATCAACATTTGCAGGTCCGCCAGGGTTTTATACCCGAAACTGTTACATTTAAATAAACAAACCAGTTTGTCCACATAAATGCACAGGCCCCTGGTGTTCTGAAACTTATTGTATAACTATCATATTATACTGTAGTTATTGTTTCGTGAGCTTACATGTTACACCATACCTTTTCAGAATGGTCTTTATTTTACAGCATAAAAATCTTACCTAAATGTACCAAGATTGAGTGAGAATAAAACAAACACTGCCATGAGGCAGATCTTCTTGGTAGGGGATGCCATTCCAGTACCTCGTCTCTTCAGTACCCCATTCTGGGGGAATAAACCAGTCAATTTCAATTAGCTATATATATAATTCAAAAAATCACTAGGTTTTATACTATAGTATTGTGTCTATCACCCTGTTGTCTGTATATTACGGTATGACGTGTGGCTGTCACTACCTCTGTTTTATACTATAGTATTGTGTCCATCACCCTGTTGTCTGTANATTGTTTCGTGAGCTTACATGTTACACCATACCTTTTCAGAATGGTCTTTATTTTACAGCATAAAAATCTTACCTAAATGTACCAAGATTGAGTGAGAATAAAACAAACACTGCCATGAGGCAGATCTTCTTGGTAGGGGAGGCCATTCCAGTACCTCGTCTCTTCAGTACCTCATTCTGGGGGAATAAACCAGTCAATTTCAATTAGCTATATAATTCAATAAATCACTAGGTCTTCCCATCAATATTTCCGCTTAAATCACTACACATATTGGATACAGAGAAGTAACTATTTGTGTGATGGACTGAGCCTGGTATATGAACATTCCTATACCATATCATGTATCTAAATATAACTCATTTGAAATTTAAATGTTCCTCAATGTATTTTGTTTTTTACCATAAAATAAACGGTATTTTTATCCTTTCTGACCCTTTAGAAGTTTATCATAGTACACAAATAAACAAAACTATTTCAACTAGCCCAATTTTCATTAATGTTTCTTAACTGCATTCAAGATTTTCTCTTGACTTGAGCATTGCTTTCTCTATCCATTTGAGAAACAATATCTCCATCAAGACGTTTTGTGAATATGCCATCTGTTTTATGCATTGTGTCTATCACCCTGTTGTCTGTACATTACGGTGTGACGTGTGGCTGTCCCTACCTCTGTTTTATACTATAGTTTTGTGTCTATCACCCTGTTGTCTGTACATTACAGTATGACGTGTGGCTGTCACTACCTGTGTTTTATACTATAGTATTGTGTCTATCACCCTGTCGTCTGTACATTAGGGTACGACGTGTGGCTGTCACTACCTGTGTTTTATACTATAGTATTGTGTCTATCACCCTGTCGTCTGTACATTAGGGTACGACGTGTGGCTGTCACTACCTGTGTTTTATACTATAGTATTGTGTCTATCACCCTGTCGTCTGTACATTAGGGTACGACGTGTGGCTGTCCCTACCTCTGTTTTATACTATAGTATTGTGTCTATCACCCTGTTGTCTGTACAATACGGTATGATGTGTGGCTGTCCCTACCTCTGTTTTATATTATAGTATTGTGTCTATCACCCTGTTGTCTGTACATTACGGTATGACGTGTGGCTGTCCCTACCTCTGTTTTATACTATAGTATTGTGTCTATCACCCTGTTGTCTGTACATTACGGTATGACGTTTGGCTGTCACTACCTCTGTTTTATTCTTTAGTATTGTGTCTATCACCCTGTTGTCTGTACATATACGGTATGACGTGTGGCTGTCCCTACCTCTGTTTGCATCGTAGAGAGTCTTCGTCTCAACTCCTCATTTTCTTGCTGCAGTTTTTGATTCTGTTGATCATAATCACTTAGTTGTTCCTCCAATGTCTGTAGATACTGTAAACATACATTGTCATTACTGATAAGTGACAAGTTTTCCAGTATTTGGCAACAGAGCTCACTTAACATTTGACCTTGAACACAGAATTTTGGAACTGTCCAATTTTATTGGACAATATGAATTTAAATAAATAGAATTCATGGATGATGAATTTTTAAAAGAAACCTGCTTATTGATGAAATTAAATCTATAAAAGGAACTAACTATAAGAATGGTTTCTGAATTACAATGCTTATGCTAATACAAGAGGCCCAGAGGGCCTGTATCGCTCACCTGGATATCTAAGCAATCATGGCAAAATATTCTCCAAATGAGATCCAAGGGAATATGCCAGACCCCAAGGCCAAACCTTGTAGCATATCTGTATTTGATTTTTTATGCCCAGCAATTTTATGCATGGTTATGGGGTGGGGATCTCAACTGTTTCCAAGCTGTGACTCAGAAACTAGGTCCCTAGGGTTGTGGCCAGACCCCAGGATTAATTCTAATATCATGACTGCAATTGTCTCTTTTTGGCCAGCATTTGTATATATAATTTTGGGGTGGGGATCTCAACCGTTTCAAAGTTATGACCCAGGGGTTATGTCTGCAAGGGTGGGGCAGACCCTGGGGTCAATTCTAATATCATGACTGCATTCGTCTCTTTATGCCCAACAATTCTATATCTAGTTTTGGGGTGGGGATCTTAACCGTTTCAAAGTTATGACCCAGGGGTTAAGTCTCCAAGGGTGGGGCCAGACCCTAGGGTCATCCTGGAAGCAAATGTGCATTCCTCTCTTTATACTCAGCAATTCTCAACCATTTCCATCCAAGTAAAAAAATATTTTTTTAACCCAACCCCTTAGCCCGGGGGGTCAGCCCCATCATTTGTACAATTTTGATTCCCTGCCTCCCATGAATGCTTCCGACCAAATATGATCAATATCCATGGTATAGTTCTACGGAAGAAGTCGTTTATAGCAATATAGCCAAATTACCCCCTTTTGGCCCAGCCCTCAGCCCCCTGGGGGGTCAGCCCCACCATTTGTACAATTTTGAATCCCTACCACCTAGGGATGCTTCCAGTCAAATATGGTTGATATCGATGTCTGAGTTCCAGAGAAGAAGTCCCTTAAAGCAATATAGCTAAATAACCCTTTTTGGCCCCGCCCCTCAGTCTCCACGGGGGTCAGCCACACCATTTGTACAATTTTGAATCCCTGCCTCCCATGAATGCTTTTGATTAAATATGATTGATATCCAGTGCATAGTTCTACAGAAGAAGTCGTTTGTAGCAATATAGCCAAAATGCCCTCTTTTGGCCCCACCCCTCAGCCCCCCCGGGGGGTCAGCCCCACTATTTGTACAATTTTGAATCCAAACCACCTAGGGATGCCTCCACTCAAATATGGTTGATATCCATCTCTTAGTTCCAGAGGAGATGTCGCTTAAAGCAATATAGCCAAATTGCCCCCTTTTTGCCCCGCCCCTCAGCCCCCTGGGGGGTCAGCCCCACCATTTGTACAATTTTGAATCCCCACCACCTAGGGATGCTTCCAGTCAAATTTAGTTAAATTCCAACCAGTGGTTAAGAAGAAGAAGTCATTTAAAGAAATTGATNTTATTGGACAATATGAATTTAAATAAATAGAATTCATGGATGATGATTTTTTAAAAGAAACCTGCTTATTGATGAAATTAAATCTATATAAGGAACTACCTTTAAGATTGGTTTCTGAATTACAATGTTTATGCTAATATAACACATTAAAATGAATACACTACAGCTGCTATACAGATAAATGGAACTGTTCAATTTTTAGGGAAAATATCATAAAACTTACTTCTTTTTTGCGTTTCCTTGACAAACTGGCAGATTCTCTGTTTTTTATCATCCTCTGCTGTCTTTTCACATTTTTCATCTGAAAATTGAACGAAACATTTGTAAAGGATAATACGAATTTGGTAAATTGTCAATATGTATCAGCAAAAAAAGGGAGATTTTTTGTTGTCTTTCTGGATATCCATGTCGGCTGATAGTTTACAGAGAGACTCAATGGTGATCATAATCATAGGAATAACTCCAGCAACAGATAGCAGTTCATTTGTTACCCAAGACTAGGACACATCAACTTCATTTTATACCCCAACAAATACACTAACAGAATTAATCAATGGTGTGTGATATAGACAAGGTAGCTCAAGTTTGACAGATCAATGGCTGTTTTATTAGGGAAGACTGAGGTTTACCATTACTACATTGCTATACTACAGGTTTGTATGACTTATTCTAAACAATTTAATGAATGATTGATTCATAGTTCCTGACTTCTCTTTTTAAAATGATTTACTACTCTATCAAAAGGTACTGAATAAATAACCTCGTGGTCCACCTGCACTATTGGACTCCCAGCCATCTTGATTTGAGGAGGGGAGATAACTGTGGTTGTAACTTTGGGAATCTCCGCCTTGTTTTTCTGGTTTGTACAGGGCGGCTGGAATTTAAGAACTCCTTGGGAAGTAAGCCTCTTAAATTCCTCAGGTGTAAGCACTAATGGTTTCCCAGGTTCTGAATAAAAACCAATATTTAGTCAATGTGTACAAAAACATATTACAGTCTGGGGCATAAATTGTTTTCTTTTGGTTGGGTTCTGTTCATTTTTGAATACAGAAGATTTATAATCATAACATTAAATGAACCCACATTTTCAAAGCACATTTTTTTTTTTTTTCAAACAAAAATGTTTTGCATTAGAGTATTTATCTTTGATATCATTTCCTTTACCATGGTTTAATTTATTGGCCAATAAGAATGTGATAATAATAACAATATCTTTTTATTCAAAATTTTGTTGGTTACATATATTACCTGTGTTTGGGAAAGCTGGTTTTTGTACAGTGGTAGTTTTATCTGTTGATAGTGGTTTCGGTTGGATCTTGACTTTGGAATTTAGAATTGAGTTTATATTGATAGATGTATCAAACCCAGTCAGCACAGTGCTACAAGGTTGTGTTGGTGCATTGATGATGACCTGTGACCCCAGCTCTGATTGGTCGTTGATGTATGTGAAGGACGCCTGTGTAATGTTATGACCCTGCCCTGATAGGATCATGGACTGTGGTGACAATGGTGGACTTTCTATCTTCAGGTCAAAATCTGCTGTGTATGTTTTATGTGACTGGAAGAAAGAAATTGAAAACACCATATGTTAAATGAAATATTCAACTTAAAAATGTTAACAAAAATTGCTCTTGATGTTTTCAACTGCCACTTCAAAATATATTTATATAATTTACTATGAGGGACAAACAGCATGATTACTTTTAGTTTAATTCTTTAACCAAACAGATATGGACACAAATACCAATATCTAGTAGCACATCATATTACTGAACTGAAGAAAATCCCTCAAATAATGACAGACTTTCTATTAAGCTGGTATATAATTATCAGCTATTCTATAAGCTGGTTTATAACCAAGTTATATGGTATTCAATACTGGAACAATCAGAGTGAAATATTTTCTTCAATGACACGTCAGGCGACTCTTCTTCAGTAGCAAAACACTCTACTAGGTCTGTTCCAATGGTTAGGGATCAATGCTTTTTATACTGATGGGATGTCTCACCTGTGATACTGTCCCGTCAGAGCCCTCTGAGGACAGGGACGAAGCTGGAGACGGAGGTTCCTGCTTGATCAAAAGGTCTGGTGACGGTTGATTTTCATATTGCACTGTCACACCTGGTAAAAACATCCATCATTATGTTTTTGGAAATCAGTGACTTTTTTTTTCTTTTTCTTTTTTCTAAGTGTTTTAATAAATGTTTTATGGACTAACCAGTAATTCTACTGTTTAAGTGACTCACCACTAATGCCACTGTTTGATTGACTCACCACTAATTCCACTGTCGGAGCTGTCACTGAACTCCTGCTGCAAATCATCACTGAATATGTTAACTGAATCGGGAAACACTGCAAATGTGTCGTTATTTATGGCGTCCAGGGTCAGCTGTAAACATAAAGGTTTTTCAAAAGTGCTATGTTTACCAATTCTGTATTGTTTCAATCTACAAACTGGATCATGGAATTTAAATTTACTATTATATTGAGGTTAACATATTAAATTTACAAACTTTTAAAAGTAAATGAAATTAGAAATTAACTTCAGGACAAAATTGTATTTAAAATAAAATTAATTTTAAAGCAGATTCATGATATACATAATTGTAGTTATATGATTAAATAAATGAGTTCTAGCTTTTTCTGGTCAGTTTTCCAGTATGACCTACATGTATATCTCAATAATATAAATATGAAAATTTCCTCTATACTGTCATGAAATCAAACCTACTGTTGGAAAGTCATCAGGGAAATTGCGGACCAAGTCTTCTGGATTAAGTGCTGCATCCATTCCCAGTATTTCTGACAAGTCCATGTCAGACTCTGGAAATAGAAATAGAATTTTGATGTTACATGTTTGTTTCAAGAAATACGGGTAATCACTGCCAACAGCTGCAGCTTTAAAACTTATCAAGCCATGATATAATTATTCATGCTTTGAAATAAATATGTACATATGTTTGCAAAAATTTTGCACATTTAGTGTGACAAAGCCCCTTCGATATTACTACTAAAGTACTGCCAATAGCAGCTTCATCTTATAATTATGAGGCTATAACTGAACTGAAGTTGGTCTTTGCACCTCTGAGCAACTTAACAGTGTCACTACCGAACTTATCAGTATCTTCTGCTTTGATCCTGAACACCAACTGCCTGTCTCAAGTGTCTGTGAGATCAACAAACAATTTTACGCCTGGATTTTTCACCAATTCAACCTTCTCCAGTTGCACAATCAACATCAACAACATACCGGACTGTAAATATAACTCTGACCTGATTACTGCGGGCTTCCGTTGAGTGCGTGCGCCTGATATTCCGTCTTTGCGTATTGCAGAGTTATCTTCTCTTGGAAGCAGGTATTGATTGTTACGTCACATGTTTGTGAGAGTGTAACGTCATCAATTTTTGAGAAAACAACGTAATTTTCTCACACAAACCAATGACGTAACAATCAATACCTGCTCCCAAGAGACAATAACTCTGCAATACACAAAGATGGAATGGGTCGCAATAAAATCAGAAAATGTTTTACGACACTTGATTAGTTACTTACAAAATGTTATTTGTTACTTTTTTATGAATTGAGAATACGATATATATATAAATTAAAAACAAGTGAATTATTAACATTAGTTGCGGAGCCTTTTCAATTTTGTATGGGAAATAGCGCGCGTGTGATGTCAGCTGTTGTCTTTGTGCTGTTCTAGATATTGACCTGTGACCTGACGGTAATACCGGTAAGCAGGAAATTTGAAAGTTGGAAAAGACATAAATTATTTTTTGCTAATTCTCATCACGGAAATATAAATATAAGCAATAAACTGCATAGATGTGGCACACCAACTGGTATAACTGCCACATGTGTCACAGACAAACTGAATGGTGCGCGCTAGCTTAAATGNCAAATGAAACATATCAGCTTAAAAAAATTCTGGGGAGAACCCTGCGTATACACTTCATTTGAATACAAAGGCCTTAAATAAAGCATATAGGCAACCAACATCACTACATTCATGCTCTCATTAAATTGATAGAACATGCACATTAATATTGTATCTTCAGATAGTGTACTTCCGTTCTCAAACTCTTATGAGAGTTATATTTATTAACCTGTAATTACTTCAAGTCAAAATCAGGTATATGTACCAGGTAATTTTGTTTGGTTGATATTGATTATAATCACTTGTTGATACTAATAAATGATCTTAAAGTAAAATAGTGTCTTCTTTTTGAAAATCGCAAAGAAAACAGAGTTATAATTATAAATTAATATGTGTTTTTTTTCCTTTTGTTCTCTTTTTATCTTAGCTCTATATATATAGCTACAATGCTTGGAATAGCGCTATGTTTTACAGTTTCTTCTGACAAGCATATATATATTTATATAATGTATTAATTTACCACACATTATATCCAACATTCCAGATAAATGTGTTTATAACTTGAATTGTCTGATCATGAACATGCAATCACACATGTACACATATGTACATATGTACAGTAGCTACTTGTGTTGAAGTACCATCACTTCCTTGTTTGTATAAATAGTTCAGGCATGTTCATACATGTACACAGTAGATTAAGCTTGATCAAACAGAATACAACCAAGTGTGATATTCTCCTTCATTTTACACTGCACGATTCATCTTGAATATTAACGCACAATAGTCCATGTCAGGATAAAAGGTATGAGTTACAAGCTCCCACTGGAGCTACAATATATTTACATAAGGTATCAATGGAAGTATTGACAGAAAATCAATGACACCATTCTTGTATTATCCCTATATAGCTATAGCTGTATATCATACTTGCCAACTCTCCCTTTATATTTAGGAAGGAGACTCCTGATATTGGACCCCAAAATTGAGCATTTTCAACCTGTGCATTTGCTAAACTATTCCTATTTTAAAACATTTGATGATTTCACCTGAAAGAACAGCTCAAAAGATGCCATTGAAAAGTGTTCTTTTCTTCTAGGGTGGACATATACACTTATTTTATATGCTTTCAATTCTGAGCATGCGTATTTACCTCCATGGAAATTTCAAAAAGGTTGGCATGCATGGTACATACAAATATTCATATTAAGTGTTATATATATATATACCACTCACTTGCTCAAACAGGATGCAGGCAAATACTACACCCCAACTTCATTTGAAGCTTTGAAAAGTAAATTTGTATCCTGTTGACTTTTGGTTGTGTAAACATACTTTCTGATGTAACAGATGCATGAATGTACTGTAATTGCAGTAGGAACACATCTTTATCTAATGAGGACAGCTTGTGAAAATTTCATAAAGTTGAAAATGTCAAGTTGTTCGATTGTGATTTTAAATTTATATGCATGAATTATTTAAGCAAATGTTATCTTCGATTGATACATATATTTCAAAGGACTAGATGTTCCAGTCTAGCAGTTTCCATATGGTTGCCTACAGTGCTATAGCTACATATATATATAGCCTTCGTTAGACATGTTCCACTTAACACACATATATCCTAAAGGAGACTTAAATCTATTTTTACTATCCTTTTGTTTATCTATTATACATATATATGTGAACAGGTAAATTTACATTTTTTTATAAATGAAAACAACCATTGTGTGATCAGTGTTGCTGTTTGAGTGTTTCCTCAGGGTATTTATCAAAACAACATGGAATAGTTTAGTCTCATACAATGTAGAGTCACAAAGCTTAGCAGCACATCCGTTAAGGGACACACTGTGTCATTCTGACTGCATTTCCTTTTTCTTTATTTATAGAGTGAATCTATCAATATAGCAACCTTTGGAGAATCCTACTACTATACCGTTCAAGCCATGAAAACACCATAAAACTGCATGTAGCAAAATATCTATTTATCTAATTAAATCCAACTAAATGTTTTAAATTTTTATTTTAGACATTTTCAACATAAATTATCAAAGCCTATATGCTTTGAAAGTAATGTCAAACTATAAACCACCAAAAACAGTCAGATTATAATCAAAAACACACACAGAGTTTAAAATGTTGGAAGAATTTAACCTTAATTGAAACTAATTCTAAATTTTATGAGGCTTTCAATACCAAATCAATTTCATGAAAGAGATTCATATGCATAGATTCCCAAGTTAGCAAATGCAACTCAATTATATTATGCTTCACAAGTTAAAAAAATGCAATTATTCAAAAGTTATGAATTGACAGCTCTTTTGTTGTTTCTACAACAGTTTTGAGCATACTGTGTACACTGTGTACATGTACACCTTTCATAATACTTGAGTACATAGTGTTTCCCACAGAATAAAAAGGGCATGTTGATTTGCTTAGAAAAGGGCATTTTATAGTGCATGAATTAAAATTTTAAAGGGAACATTTCTCACAAAACTGTATGATTGTATAGACTTAACCACAGACTTAGATAACACTAATCTTATTCCGTGACTTAACCGAAAACTTACATGTTTTTTTTGCTGCGTTTAAAAAAAAAAATGTAATTGTACCCTATTAAAACTTTATAACGTTTATCTGTACAGTAGCGAGGAAACATAAAATTCAGTTTAAAAGAGAACAAAAATTATGAAGAAGGTTAGAGAAGGAGATGGGGGTCCAGAAAAGGGGGGTGGGGTCCAGAAAAAAGGGGGGCGGGGATATCCCGGCGGCATAACGAATGTGTCCAGAATCGCTTTAACGTCTATGATATTATAATAGTTGTCGCCATCGTACTGACAATGGCTGATATATTGCAGTCGTTTAAGTCGCCTGTCGGATCAAAATTAAAAACAAACAAGATCGAGAAAAATCGATAATTATAAACAACAATCATCGAGAGCTGTCATGCCCATTCATGCTAACTTACCTAAATCTTCATTTGAAAGCAGATTGTTGGAGTAGAACCTCCTGTCCACTTCCGAGACCATATTCAAACTCATGTTTTTATAAAACAAAAGGAAGTAGGCCTATCAACAATAATATAGGTTTTTTCCTGACGACATTTTTCTTCTCGCGTGTAGATTATTCTATTTCCCAGAATTCTGCACATCCTACCGAAACCGGAACAGGTTGGACGTTCTGGTTCAATGATAGTATAGGAAAGTTATTTAACCAGCAGTTATTTCAATGATCAGTTTTTATTACAACAATAAACGACGAATCTAAATTAAACTTGTCTTTCATGAATTTATTTTCAATTACAGAAAAATCGATTGAATAAAGTTAAGAGAATACTATACCGATATATAGTTATTTGGTTTTGACACAACCCCCTTCTCTCATTGGTTGTCTCCCTTTACCGGTGGAGTGAAATGTTATAAACTGAACAGTGAGCATGGCTGAATCTAGATTTGAGTTTCTTTATGATGTGACTGCTGATGGCAACATCCCTGTCTCTAAGTACAGGTCAAAGAACACGGGCATATCAGTTTTTATAGCCCAAGTCGAGGGTCCATTAGTGAATGGATACTTTTGCTTAGGTAAAATAATACTTATATCTATGATATTTGTCTGTTAAATTCATGTTACAAAAATTCACTAGGCCTAATTGTAAATTATATTGACTGTACAGTACTAACAAGTAATGTGAAAGCGTGACGTTAACTACTTATGGTAACATATAACTATAATTACAAATGTATATATATTTATTATAATGCATAATTAAAGTTTTTCTTCTCATTTGCAAAAGGCACTTCATTTAAGTGTAGGACTTATTTTGAGTATTTTCACACTCACACCTATGACTGCATGTATTTATGATCTGTGTAGTTTTATCAGCTGTCAGATGGTCTGGAATGACGTAGATCAGAATTGAAAACAAAGTTTTCAGCTCTCATTTTAGAGTTCCTGAGGTACCAGGTTCAGATCCCTTTCTGGCCTGAGTGTTGCTTGTTTGGTTTGTTTGGGTTTAATGTCCAGGCGACTAGTACTGTACCCCACATAAACCTTGAACCCGCGACCCAGGGGTGGAAGGCTAGTGGTAGCAGAATGTCAGAGGCTTAACACTTGGCTAGTGACCGCAGCCCCTGGCCTAATTGCAATTCTCTCTCACCTGTTACAAAATATGTGACGCCTGATGACTCAAAATCATTATTATTTAATGTGTGTATGCTAAGCGAAGGGAAACACGAACCTGGGTGGAAAACATTTTATTTTTAAGGGTGAAGAATTATAAGGAAAGTTGTGTATAACTGGGCCTGAGGTGACCTCTAATGAACAGGCTCAGCTTAATTGGTTTATAGAGTGACTCTGTCTAGAATTTGAAGGTTCCAGGTTTAGTTATCGGGGACTCGGGGTGACACCCTCTTTGAAGGTGTGATAAAAAGCATGCAATAGTGAAACATTTATGTTATCACATAACTTTAGCTCACCTGGCATGAATTTCCTGTGAACATATTGTAATGGTACATGTCAGTGTCCTGAGTGAGTACCTGTTAATTTATCCAAGAATATCAAATTAACTGTTTTCTTTAAACAATTCTAGAATATAAAATTAACTGTTTTCTTTAAACATGCATGCACATGCAGCAAGTCTTTTAAAGAACCAATAGACACAGGATTATGATATTTGGTAGAAGTATAGCTCTACCTAAGGAAGGAATGGTAAACATTTCCCCAAATTAATAGATACCTTCACAATCTTTCAAGATCACAAGGGTCAACTATTCTTTAAACCTCATACAACTCCTTATCCATTAGATTCAATCCTGGGGCTCAGAGCCATGATTTAACTTTGGTATGTATGAAGACCAGACATGAACATCTTTTTTTGTAATATATTCTGTTGAGGTCAAAGGTCAACTTTGAGAGCCTGCTGGGGTCAAAGGTCAACATAGGCTATTATTTGGGAAAAAAAAGTAAAAATATTTTTCTGAATAATAAAGATGCTTAGGAGGTTGTGGTATTTGGCCAGTAGCTGATGAAGTACTATAGAGTTTTCTGAAACCAATTTTTGTAGTTTTGAGGTCATAGGGGTCAAATTCTCAAAGATAAAGGACTTAATTCTGATGAAAAAGTATGAGATCTAAGGTGTTGGTACTGTCAAAGGTGTTAGAATATTTTAACCACTTCTTCAGAATGACTTCAGAGAACATGAGATTTGGCCTGCAGCATGCTGGTATGAAGGGTAATTAATATGTTCAAATGATTGACCTTGTTCTATTTTTAAAGTCACGAGAGGTTAAATGTGTAATTTTTTTCTACTGATTAACTGAGAGGTTGAAAGTCATGATTTTGTCCTGATAGCAAGCAGACATGAAAGGCTATTAAGTACCAGTTATCTCTCCAGCTGTTTGCCATCCTTCTGTAACCTTTAACTCATTCACCCCTGAAATTTCATAATGAACTATTCCAACCTTTAAATTTGAAGAGCTCAAATGTGTCTTCAGGGGTGAATGAGCTAACATTGGCTAAGGTCATTTGAACAAACTTAATATGAAGCTTCCATGGACCAAGAAATCAAATGTTATATGAAGGACGTGTTGTCCTTCTGAGTGCTGAGAGGTAGGGCCCAAAATGGGGAATATGATAGTGTATTACTTAAACAAGATTATATTTCAATGATTACTTAAATATCCAGGTGTGTGAAACAGGCCCTCTGTGCCTCGTTATATCTCGCCTAACAAAGCTTGTTATATGATACTAGGTGATGATTAATGTTAATAATTTCTTTGAATCCTCAGCCACCGAGGCCCATGATGATGATGGCCTTCCTCACACTTTGGAGCACCTCATCTTCCTTGGCAGTGAAGACTACCCATATAAAGTAAGCCTGGAATCAACTATCCATGACTATAAACTGTAATAACTGTTGTATAAAAGTAACTGCAGAAAGTTATTACAATGTATATCTGAAAATATTCAACCAGTTGTGTTTGTTGAATAAAGTACTAATTAAGTTACATAATTAAGGGTAATATGTAAAACATATGGCATGGGCATTTTTGTTGCATATGTGTAACACAGTAAACACTGTGTAAACACTGTAATTTCTTGGGTATTAGCCATAGGCTAAATTATTAGGTCATCTGAGCTTTGTTCAAGTGACCTAATGTCCTATTCCGATCACTAATTTCCGTCCGTTGTCGTGCGTTGTGCATAAACTTTTTACATTTTCAACTTCTTCTCAAGAACCAGTGGATAGAATTTTTTCAAACTTGGTCAGAATCATCCTTGGATGAGGCTATACATTTGTAAAATTGGGATTCCTACCCCAGCCCTAGGGCCAGGGCGGGGCCCCAAAGGGAAAATTAACCAATATTTCAAAAATCTTCTTCTCCAGACTCAGAGGTACTACAATCATTTTCTCTGCATGGAAAGAAAGATCATCGGGGATTTTAAATTGTAAATTTCAGGACCTCCGAGATATCCGTTCTCCCTTGGGGAGTGGGTAAAGTTTACTATAGTTTATATTGGGAAACAACACTTTTGGGTATATTTTGACAATTTTCTGTAGGAAATTATTCTTACTTGGTGAGAATTATCCTTGGAGGAAGATGGATTTAAAATGTAAAATTGGGATTCATACCCTAGGGGCCAGGGCAGGTCCCCAAAGGGAAAATTAACCATTATTTCAAAAATCTTCTACTCAAGACTCAGAGGTACTATTCATTGTTTCCCGCATGGATGGAAAGATCATCAGGGCCTTTATTTAAATTGTAAATTTCAGGACCCCCCAATCTATCCGGTAAAGTTTATATAGGGAAATAACACTTTTGGGTATATTTTATCCATTTTCAGCAGAAAATTATTCAAACTTGGTCAGAATCATCTTTTTTGGATGAGGGTATTACATTGTAAAATTGGAATTCCTGCCTCATCCCCAGGGGCTAGGGCGGGGCCCCAAAAGGAACATTTGCCAATACTTTAAAATTCTTATCCTTTGATGACATGACAAGTATTGTATTTCACTTAGTTTACATGCTGATTTCCACATCACATCTAAAGAATAAAATAAAGCTACCAGTACCTATGATATAACTCAGGTGACAGCTAAGGCCCTTGGGCCTCTTGTTTTAATTTTTAAAACCGCTCTTTGCAGGTTATCTGATGAAGCGGGTACTGTGACAAATTAAAATCGTTTAAAAAGTGCTGGTTTTGTGATATCTTTCTAAAATCTTAGACATCTTCAATTATTAATAGGTCACCAGGTACTGACCATAGGTTGGTGGTTTTTCTTCGGGAATCCCTGCTTTTCTCCACCACCAAAACCTGGCACATCCTTAAATAACCATAGCTGTTTATAGGACGTAAAACACAAACAAACCAAACCAAACAACTTCAATTATTAACAAAAACTACAAAATTACGGTAATTTTCAAGTTTTAGCATCGAATGTTTGCATGAAATATATATCATCTATATGGAGTACTTACATGTAGTAGCTAGGGGTCACCATGGCTGTTTACATTAAAGTTATAAAATGCATTAAAAAAGGCAATAATAGACATTCTTTGTTGAGGATAAGTACATGTTTAAGTATGTCAGGGATAGATAAAGTAAACAATTCCACAATTAAATCTAAATTGAATGCATCAATTACTGACATTGTTATATATCCTGATAAGTGAGGGCTACATGTACCTGACATTGGAAGTGTATCTGACATGATAGTCGTTAACGTTGTATATATAAGTTTTTGTGTAGCAGATAACCATCTGGCAATCTAACCAGGCAGGCAGCCTGCTGATTTTTTTCCAAAACATGAGATTTTAGGTAGCAGAGTACAGTAGAAATGGCTTGATCCGTACGCTACTGTACACTGCTACCTCAGGATTTTAGGTGGGCAATATGCAGGAAATAATGGCAAAACACTGTACAAGATATTATGGGTAATACCAATTAAACACAAACACAGGGAGAAACACTCCAGGCCTCGAACTGCATTCCCTTTTGTATTTTGGTTGCAGGGAGTGCTTGACCTGCTGGCTAACAGGTGCTTGGCATCTGGTACCAATGCCTGGACAGACACTGACCACACCTGTTACACAATGACCAATGCAGGCAGCGAAGGTTTCCTGAAGCTCCTTCCCTATTACCTGGACCACATCCTTTATCCAACGCTTACAGTGGGTACTAATTATAGTTCTATATAAAAAAGATTAAAACACCTGTAGGATAAATTTCAAAATGTGCATTTGAGACACGTGTCCATTAAGTAACATTATGATTACCTAAATAGTTACCTTATATTACCTAGATTGATTTTATAATTAGAGTCAGTAAGCAGAAAATAAAAAATATTTTAATGCTGTTCTAGGAGTCTGGCTATGTGACAGAGGTCCACCACATAAACGGTGAGGGAGAGGATGCTGGTGTGGTTTACTGCGAGATGCAGGCACGAGAAAACACTGGGGAGAGTCGCTGTCAGCTAGAGATGGTCCGTGCTATGTACCCAGGTCGTTGTGGGTACAAGTCAGAGACAGGAGGCATTATGGCAAATCTACGTGATAGTACCTCACACAAGAAGGTGGATCATTTTGAACATTCGCTGTGTTTATTCTATCATTTGTTACATTTTACTTTATACTGTATGCGGATACTGTAATTAAGGTAAAACCTGTTTGCTACCTCTGCTTTTTCTAAATTTACTTTAGAAAACATTTATAATGGTGAGAATGTTTCATTTAAGGAACAATGACTGAATTGTATTCATTTCAGAAAAAAAATGTTTAGAAAGATTTTGATTCAGGAATGGGGCTTTTTCAAGAGATGTTGCTCTTTTATTCTTTCAGTTGATTATGACTCAATATGTTTTGGAAATTTCTATACCAGCTATTGTATTTAACTTACTTGTTTGTGTCTGTAGGTGTGTGATTACCACCGAGAATTTTACCGCCCAGAAAACCTCTGTCTCATAATCACAGGTCAGGTTTCGGCTGATGAGGTGTTCCAGGCTCTGAAACCTGTTGAAAACAAGATCATCTCCAAGGTACCAAACTGATGAAAGTATTAAAAACAGGCATACCTGATTAAGTATCATTTGATAAAGATCAATCTTGGCAGTCTTTGGTAAATCATGGGTATAATATACATCCATCAACATCGAAACTTGAATAATTAGAAATGATAAATTTACCAGTGTATGTAAATAATGCGTCGCTTTGCTATTTGGAGTGTTTTTATTATCATTTTTTACAATGATACTTTCAGGGAAGTCGTTCTTCTTTTATACGTCCCTGGATGAGTGAAGTTCCACCTCTAGAGAAACCTGTGGTCATCAGTCTTCCCTATGCAGCCGACGAGGAAACACATGGCATGGTAAACCTGGCATGGAGAGGGCCTCATGTTAAGGTAATTTTAAGGATTCTTGTAACACTGCCAAATTGGAGACTTCTTTACTGACATGGCAGTATCTTTAGTATGCCATTTCTGAAAAGAAACAAATACCTTGCAGAACTTAAAATAGAACGAAAATGAAATTAATAACAATAATTGAAAAAAACACCCAGTTTTCTGATAGAAAAACCCCACCCAGTGAGGCCAGACCAGGATTTGAACCATGGACCTCTGATAACAATACAGTTAATGACCTACTTGATCAGAGTCAGTTGCTTGGCCTAGTTCCTTACAGTAATTAATAAAACAAAAAATAAGGGGAGATAACTGTATATATATATATGAAAACTACAGTGGGATATCTAGTGTTTGGCCTACGGTGGAAAAGAAATTCTTAACACAAATTTTCAGAAATGTTTAAAATGTATCTAACAACATTTGAATTGTACTTAAAGTATTCACCATTACAATACAGTAAGTTCGGGTATGTAATATTACTAAGCTTTTATAATGCAGTGGTTTGAGACATTTAACTATTTGTGTTGAAACAGGACCAGTACCTGATGAATGCCCTACACATTCTCCAGGAGTACTTGTCTGACTCGGCCATCTCGCCCCTACAGAAGGAGCTGGTGGAGGTAGAAGAGCCTTACTGTAGTCAGGTACTGTGAGTGAGTCAGACCTCATTTTTTGTCGGTAATTACTTGGATTCAAGATGAGATCAGATGGATGTAGCACAACCGATACTCATTAAATTGATAGCCAGAGGATTTCGTACATGGATAATTTCTAAACTAATCTGTAGATGTACCCTGGCACTACCTCAGTCCTATGCTGTACCAGGGTGGCTTAGAAGTTTTCGTCAGGGTCAACTTTTGAAGTGGATCTTTAAACTATTATTGTGTTCCATTTAGGGGTATGTTACAGTTGTGCTTGTACATAGCAATCAATCTATTAAAATTGGAATGCAGTGATCCGCTGAAGTGAACTTCTTTGTCTTGATGCCTCATTTCAGGGTAACAATTTAGCTGGATTCACTATGGTATCCAGTGAAAAGCTAATGTTTAAGGTGCTCACTAAACTGTTATATATATATACAATGGTAAACTGTATTTTATCAATGTAATGTATCATTACCGACTCCAAGAGACATCAAATTATGTAAAACTTGTAAATAAAGGCTAAAAATGTGCATAGTTTGGTTTGTTTTGCAATTGAACTGCACAGATTATTTCTGGATTTTTTTTATTTCCTGATCAATTATTAGATTTGCACTAGTGGGAAAGTGATTGGAGAGGTATCGTTCGATTTAGCAGAGCTGTTTCTAGTTATCACACCTGAAAAGTTCAGCTAAATGAAAATAACTACTTTCTTCCTAGCTCACTAATTGGTGAAACTTATAACGTGACTTGCACACAATTATGTCATTCTTTTTGCTGGAAGATCTATTGTGACATCTAATTTTGTTAATTTTTAGAGCATTTTTTAAGGGCAAAAGGACAGGTGTCTGCTTGTGTTACCCTGGTAGTCTCTATACACAGGTCACTGTATAGTAAAAACACTTTAGACCATTTCAAATTGTATGTTATAGACAGGTGATTGCTATAGAAAGGTAGAAGCTGAGCAAGTATTTTTACTGTTTTTGATGATAATATTTTTCACTGATCATTGAGGAGAAACCATGCTGAGATAGTGACTTATACCTGTGGTATGTGTTAAATTTAAGAGTTGCTGCAGAGATTTTTCCACGCAAAACTACATCGGTAGTCTTCCATAGCTTTGATTAATCTTATCTTTCCTTATTCAGATTTCAGCAAGTGTCATTGAGAACTCAAAAACACTCATATACTTCAATTTCACAAATGTGACAACATCAAAACTAACAGAAGTCAAACAAAAGTAAGTACATTTTCAAAACATGTTATGTTTACTGTCTAAAAACATTCAAAATCAGAACTTGTAGAATTCTATGCATGGTGAAAGAATTGAGATAGAACTTTTGAGTTATAACAGTGTTGCATAAATATTGATTATGAAAAGTTCTTTTTACACAACCAATAAGATAAGTAAATCTTATTGGTTGGGTAAAAAGAACTTTTCATAATCCATACTTACCAACCTGAAGAAAATATTTAGAAAAAGTGTTGCGTAAACTTTAAAACGACTGTTTGGTTTCATGAACAAAAAGCGTGAAAGTTTGACCCAGTGTAGTCAAAGTGATATATAATATATATATATATATACTCTGATACAAGTCTTCACCGAGGGATTTATTCCCTTTTCTCAAAACCAAGGTCGAAATTGCTCAATCTTCAACATATATATGAAAGAGTCATTTTTGTGCCCCCACCAATTTCGTGACATCTTGGTTATACTTTGTAATGATAGAAGTCGAACATTTCTCTAACTTCACGTATGGATACGTCTTGAGGATTCCTACACCTGATGAATCAAATGTAGGTCACTGTGACCTGTATTTTCTGCTTTACTGATCAGTAAGACATTTACTCGAGCTCCATTATTTGTAGACATTGAGTTCAGCTCCATTTCCGTCACAGCAAAAGTGGGAGGGGGTGGGGTGGTTATATTTTAAGTTCTAGATACCGTTTTGAAAAAGATCATTTGTCAACTCCTTTTATGAAAATCATGTGGTTGAGTTTATTGACCTTGGTTTGCAGAGTGAATGAAGTGTTGAGAAAGACCCATCAAGGCTCGTTAGACATGGCCAGAATAGACAGCATAGTTCACCGTAAGATTCTGGAGTCTCTACGGCGTATAGAAGATGCTCCACATGACACTTTGTCCTTCATTATCATTGGAGACTTCCTGTATAGCCAAGACAAAGCAGATGTAAGCAAGTACTTCCTCACAATGGTTTTTGATACCAGCTATTTTTACCCCAATCAACAGATTATTAGTTAAAAAAATACACATTAATAATGGTAAGCTTGAAATGAAACTGCATTAGATTTGATGGATAGGATTTTGATTAGATTTACATGCTGTACTTGATCTTTATGTCTACTTGAATTATTACTTATTCTAAAATTGTACAATTGTTTTTAATCACATGATTCTCTAAATCTTTTGGTTGATTTTTCAAATACAGGCATAATGGGAAAAGGTTTAAAAAAAAAGGTTTTAAGATTAGCTTGAAAACATTTTACTTGATTTTCTTCACAAGTTTCATAGTTTAGTTATTTTACATCACAAATTTCTTAGATATGATTGAAACTGACTTTTTTGAAAAACAATGGAGCATTTAACAGCTTTTGTAACCTAAAATATCGATTTGCCAAATTGATAAGCGCATCCCCTATATGTGCCTTTCCCCTTTTTAGAACAGTTTGAAAGGTATAAGCGCTCCCTTTCCCACATATCCTCCACTATGGCATTCTGTGATTAAAAGATTCATTTTCTATATACTTAATATCAGACACTAGAGTCTTGTAGTCTGGAAAGACTCTTTCAGTGTGTTAGAAAAAATAAAGAACAATTTTGAAATTCTTCATGGGAATATTTCTGAAGGTTGTGTTGTCTTTACAGTACCTACAGCCTGATACAACCTATGCTTGTTATCATAATAAGCACCCCCCCTTCCGCTAATTTTCATGTGTCCTGGCACTAATTATAGAGAATATGGTATCGTTGTCAAGATTTGAAACTTAGTTTATCAAAATGTGTTTGAAGCTGAAGATATCTGATTTTAAGAATTCAGTTTTAATTCAAAACTGGGTAAAACACATTATATAGTTGCAGAAACATTAAGTATATATGAGGAATTTGACCTGAACAAATTTGTTTCAAAAGGTAAAAATACAATGATTGACTTATTCAGCTGTTATAAAGCCAATGGCTGTGTATTATGAATAGGTGATATAATTTTACCAAAGCCTATTTACTGTTAACAGACAGATGGACGTGTCAATGTGGTCACACAGTATCAGAAGATGAAGGCAGAGAAGGAAGATTTCTGGAAGGATCTGCTGGCCAGGTTCTTTCTAAATGAAGTCCAAGTTGTGGTAAGATTTATGGCCATAAATCATAAAATCTTTTCAGCCTCCAGCCTTGTCAGCAAATTGTTCAAAGAGATACCTTTGTTATATTTACAATAAAGCTCTGTTTACTCAAATTTACAAACAGACATAAGTCAATCTGATTAAAATCATATGTTACATGGCTTCGTTAACTTCGTACTACGCCTGAACATCTGAATGTGCCGCGGTCAGGGTCATGTTCAAGTGACCTTTAGATGAACCAATCAGAGGCGCGCTGGCAAAAGTTTGCCAGCGAATCGGAATATCATGGAAGATAGATAAATGGCGAGGGGTATTGAACAGATTAGTTTTCCAAAACAAAATATGGCGGCGGGAACTGTTGTTTCTACGACGCCAAGGAAAACGTACCCATTAGGTAATAATTGCTTAGGCAACACCGCCATACAGTCTTTCTTCTCTAATAAAGCTTCGAATATCTTTTTCTGTTCATGTTTCAGACGATCAATCTCAAATAACTTGCGCATCATTCTCATCAATGTCTGCCATATTTGTTACAACTCTGAGCGCCCTTTTGAAAGAGGGTCTCTGATTGGTCAAAATCAGGGACGTGATTGACATGACCCTGACCGCATCACACACTCAGATGTTCAGGCGTAGTACGAAGTTAACAACACCATGTAACATATGATTTTAATCAGATCAGTATAATCATCTGCTGTCTGCTTTGAAATATATTTATGTTTGGTGGCTGAAAAGGTTAACTCTTTTCACCTCTAGGCAATTTGAGTAGACTCTACCATACATTCATCAGGACGACTTCACTATGGTCTACAGTGGTGAAAGGGTTACTAATTGTACTGCCCTTTTTCCTATGTCACCTGTAAGTGATGAAATTTCAGTTACTCCTGTACATGTGTTAGCACTGGTAACCCTGTTATAACTAATCTGCTCGCCGATATCCAGATTTTTAAACGTTTGACGAGTATATTCCGACAACATGATTTATTTCAAGACATCTTTTTTTATATTAAAACAACGAATTTTATATCCAGAGTGTTGCCGTATTATTAGTTGTGAATTAGGAAATTAGACGTGCGTCAATTATATCCGGACATATCCTTAGCAAATTAGAAGGTCGTCAATTAAATTTTCCCAACAGCCTTGTTATCTAACTCACCAATTAGACTGACGATCGACTAGGGGCACAGCGGGGGGACTTTACACCTCACCGCACAAGTAGTTACTAATTCACAACTCATATAACGGCGACACTTTGGATATAAAATTCGTTGTTTTATTCAAACTTTTAAAAATCCGGATATCGGCGAGCAGATTAGTTATAACAGGGTTACCAGTGTAGGTATAGAAAGAAATTCCAAAAACGAGGTTTTTAGACATTCACCTGCATGAGGCTTGACCAAGTGTTGTACCTCAAAAATCTCAAATAATTTTTTGAAATTTCTCTATCTTTATCACAATCTCACAGGAATTATTGATTATTGTTCTCCAGCATTGTCCCACCTTAAAAAAATCTCTAAATTGTAACTGTATATATATAGTTGATTCCAAATCGATGAACTGATCCTACTGCGATATGGTTACTGGTGTTCACTGACATGTTCCAAATTAATTTGATGTAGTGAATGCCTGTGTGAGTTTTCTGTCCCCATTCCAATCTCATTTACCAGCAATAGCTCAGAAACCAGGAAAAAGTGTTTTGACTGGGTACCATTTCAGAAATCATGTATTTTTTTTCCTGAACAAATTGGACAAAAATGAATCTGGCTGCAGTATTTAGCATGCCCCATTTCGACAAACTTATACTGTGCAGAATTTTTTTTTCCATTGTTCTGACATAAAAAAACAAAAATATATTCTACACTCTTCTCTCCCGTTTGATAGGTTTACCACAAATATGAGAGAGAAAAAATATCTTTCCTTTAGTTAAAATGAGAGAGCAAACACCCTTTATCTGCAACGTTAAGTGTGAATTTTAAACATGTGATAAAAAGAAATGCTGGATTGTTAAGTATTGTTTATTTGTTAATGTATTATATAAAGTATTGTAGTGGGTATGCTTTTTCATAAATTAATAGATAGAAGGTGTTCCCAGTAAAACGTTTATGGAAGAGTCGGGACAGGAAGAAAAAGACAGAGTTGCAAAGCAACAGAAACATCTTGGGGAAGATGGTTTGAAGAAACTTGGTGAAAGATTGGAGAAAGCAACAGAGGATAATGAGGTATTTTATTAAAACGCTAAATAAATTTTGAAAAATAAAAACAAATGTTTAATTGTTTTTGTATAGCCCTAAGCTGATTTAATTTTGTTTGTCTTTTGCTTTTGACACTGTAGCTAAGTTTTATAACGACTTAGTCTGCTTGAAGGGTTCATGCTCATCAAGTGTCATTTCCAGATGTATCCACATAATTGTCATGATCCATTAAATGTATATATCTTAAAGTTTGCATGTGTCAAGCAAGAATCTTACTATTAATGCAGACCTATGTTTTTTTTGATGGATAATCATATGGTTGTAGTTTTCTTGCCTGTACATATTAACAGCAGAAACTTAAATAATTCCAATCTGAGTGAGCAGTTTAATGGTTTTAAGTTTTTGAAAAATTATTATTTAAATATTCGAAGTATCAAATCTGTTTTCAAACTCTCGTTGAATCATAATTTGATTTCAGGAAGAGGCTCCGGAAGATGTGCTTACTCAAGTATCCGTTCCAGATGTATCTAGTATACACTTTCACCATATCAACCCTTCTTCCAATCTGGATCCCAAAACAGCAAATGCAAACCTGAAATTCCCTTTAGATAAAATTCCTTTTAGATTTCAGCTTGATGACATGAAAACAAATTTTGTCCAGGTAGGATACAAGTTTACAATTAAAAAATTTCCTTGAAATTATATTTGTAAATCTGTCAATATTCAAAGTAATATATATATTATGTAACAAGTGAAATTATTCATTCAAGCAAATGAACGAATGTTACTATCAACGTTACTGATCTAAAACTGATCTAAGTTTCACAACTTCTTATCAAAAAAAAAATGTGAAAAAGTCTCAAAATCATGATTTATGCTACTCTTCCCAAAATGACTGCAAAAATATTTATGGCATGATTTTAACATTTATCATTTCAATATATATTTATAAAAAATATTTTGGATTAATTTCCAAAATTAAAAATTCTGTAGACAAAAGGTACAGTTTTGAAAAGTGTAAATGTTTTGACTCCAAGGTCATAATTTCATTGATCTGTATCAAATACACTGAGGTTATTGATGCATTTTGTAGTTTATAATCTATGATACTGAAATCTTGATTCTGCCTGTTGTTTAAAAATTATCTTTTTGCTACTCTGTGCTATAGACATGACAGAGAACCTAATTTTACTGAAATTTGTGATGTGATTATTTCACATATTTTTTACAGACTATTTATAACTGCAAGATAAACCTTACACTCACCCAACTTACTGGGCATCAGACTCCAAAGAGTTTTTGACAAATTTTGAATAATTCATAAAGAATATTTAAAGAATTTCCTTGTGATTGATGAATTTGAGCAGTATATTCATACCACTGCTCAATAATGATAATTCATTATCACATCAATGATCCAGTGTTGAAGATAACAGAACAAGTGATGTTTATTTGCAGATCAATGCTCTCCTGGACTCAAGCAGTGTGCCACGAGATCTGAGATTGTATCTGCCTCTTATGTGTCAGGTGCTGTTTGAGAGTCCGATCCTCAGGGATGGAGGTACGTTAAGGACTTAATTAATGCTAATAACATTATCAATTTCAGTGAATTCTTTAAAATATCTTAATCAATTATAAAATTGTTATTAGAAAATCGAAAACATTTCAAAATGATAACTAATACAAGTGACATTCTTTCTGCTCTTGTTGCATGGACATTTTAAATTGAAGTAATTTTATTACCTATAACTAGATCTACCTAAAGCAAGACGTGACCAGTTTATATCAAAATATTATAAATGATTAGTTCATTTGGTGAATACACTGCTTTGAAGCAAATGCTGGACATTTTTTGCAGGTACAATTATGTAGCTTTGTGACTTAACTTTATGAACACACATGAACTATGTCTCCCCTTTGACTGATGAATGACATATTGCATTAATACTTGTTCTTCTTCTTGGAATTCCTCTTCTTCAGGTGTAATCTTTTTTGGACATAACTTTAAAACCATAAAAGATGTCCTGTAGTCACAGTGCCCTACCCCTCTGTCAAAGTTCAAATAAGTGTAAAATTACCGCGGAAGTCTTTTCTAGGCCAGTTCTTTTAGTTTGATATTTTGATGAAACCTGAACTATACCTCCGGCACCCATAGGACTTATATGTCACTGTAACCTCCAATTCAAGGTCAAAGTTCAAATAAGTGCAAAATTCCCGAATAAATCTTGTGTTGGCCCTAATCATTGAATTGTCATATGATGAAACCTGAAGTGTAATGGTCCTCCAATGCTCCAGGAATTGTGTAATGGTCCTCCAATGCTCCAGGAATTGTGTAATGGTCCTCCAACGCTCCAGGTATTGTGTAATGGTCCTCAAACACTCCAGGAATTGTGTAATGGTCCTCCAACGCTCCAGGAATTGTTATTATGATGAAACCTGAAGTGTAATGGTCCTCCAACGCTCCAGGAATTGTTATTATGATGAAACCTGAAGTGTTATGGTCCTCCAACGCTCCAGGAATTGTTATTATGTTGAAACCTGAAGTGTAATGGTGCTCCAACGCTCCAGGAATTGTGTAATAGCTTAACGCTCCAGGAATTGTGTAATGGTCCTCCAACGCTCCAGGAATTGTGTAATGGTCCTCCAACGCTCCAGGAATTGTTATTATGATGAAACCTGAAGTGTAATGGTCCTCCAACGCTCCAGGAATTGTTATTATGATGAAACCTGAAGTGTAATGGTCCTCCAACGCTCCAGGAATTGTTGTTATGATGAAACCTGAAGTGAAATGGTCCTCCAACGCGCGTGGAATTGTTATTATGATGAAACCTGAAGTGTAATGGTCCTCCAAGGCTCCAGGAATTGTTATTATGATGAAACCTGAAGTGTAATGGTCCTCCAACGCTCCAGGAATTGTGTAATGGTCCTCCAACGCTCCAGGAATTGTGTAATGGTCCTCCAACACTCCAGGAATTGTGTAATGGTCCTCCAACGCTTAAGGAATTGTGTAATGTCCTCCAACGCTCAAGGAATTGTTATCATGATGAAACCTGAAGTGTAATGGTCCTCCAACGCTCCAGGAATTGTTATTATGTTGAAACCTGAAGTGTGATGGTCCTCCAATGCTCCAGGAATTGTTATTATGATGAAACCTGAAGTGAAATGGTCTTCCAACGCTCCAGGAATTGTGTAATGGTCCTCCAACGCTCCAGGAATTGTGCATTGCACAGTGATTAGGTCACTGTGACCATCATTTTAATAACAAAGGTTAAATATGTACAAAACTTTCAATAAAAAGTTTGTCTGTGCTTTAAATATTAAACTATTGAAAAATTGTGCATCCACGTTTTGCTGAAACTTGAACAATACCTGCATCATCCAGCTGATAAGGGGAGACATGTTTTTTCACAAAAAAAGCTCTAATTTTCCTTCCTTTTTTTCCCTTTCTTTTTTCTAGAACTTATTTCCCACGAGGAGATTGTAAAGCAGCTAGAAGCTGACATGTTAAGTTATGGTGGAGGTTTAGGAGTGACCGGTGGAGGAAACTTCTCATGTGGAGCCTACCCCCAAGTGGTTGATCTGCAGCTTCAGGTAGGCTTGACATTGTGTAACAGGTGGGACCTACTGCTAAGTGGCCATCTCCAGCAACAGATAGGCTGATGGTGTGTAAGAGGTTTGAACTACCACTTAAGTGGTCATCTCTGCATACAGGCAGGCTGATCTTGTGTGACATGTAGGACCAACTTTCAACCTCCTAACATTGTGTCTGGGACATTTGATTGGATCACAGTCATGTTTGCCTCTGTATTGTCATGCTACAATCATTTTAATATTTGTACTGTACTTTTCACTTTTGATTTTGAAAACAATGAAGATATGAATTTTTCCATTGATAAGTTCTTATACCTCACTTGTAAATTGTAATAAATTATTTTATACCTATTGTAATTCATGTACATTTTTCTTCCTTCATAAAAATCTTAATTCAAATTAATTAAAGCAAACTTGTAAAGAATCAAACCTTATTTGAATATTGATTGAGAAGATATGTCAAGACTTTTAACATTTTATTGTCAGTTGGAGAAAGACAAATATGAGAAGGGCATTCAGTTGATGAAGGAGCTGTTGTACAGATCAAAGTTCACAGTGGACCGTCTGAAGATTGTAGCCCAAAGACTTGCTAGTGATGTAGCCAGTAGTAAACGCAAGGGAATCAAGGTAGTCCGCACCATGATAGGAGACATGGTGTACCACACAGGTACAGTATAGGAGACATGGTGTGTTACACCTGTCAGGTACAGTATAAGAGACATGGTGTATTACACCTGTCATGTACAGTATAGGTGACATGGTGTATTACACCTGTCAGGTCCAGTATAGGAGACATGGTGTACCACGCAGGTACAGTATAGGAGACATGGTGTCCCACACAGGTACAGTATAGGAGACATAGTGTGTTACACCTGTCATGTATAGTATATGAGACATGGTGTGTTACACCTGTCAGGTACAGTATAAACTAAACGCAAGGGAATCAAGGTAGTCCGCACCATGATATGAGACATGGTGTACCACACAGGTACAGTGTTTGATAGGAAAAGATGGTGAATCACACCTGTCGGGTACAGTATAGGAGACATGGTGGACCACACAGGTACAGTATAGGAGACAATGTGTACGACACAGGTACAGTATAGCAGACATGGTGTACCACACAGGTACAGTATAGGAGACATAGTGTGTTACACCTGTCATGTATAGTATATGAGACATGGTGTGTTACACCTGTCAGGTACAGTATAAGAGACATGGTGTATTACACCTGTCAGGTCCAGTATAGGAGACATGGTGTACCACACAGGTACAGTATAGGAGACAATGTGTACGACACAGGTACAGTATAGGAGACATGGTGTACCACACAGGTACAGTATAGGAGACATAGTGTGTTACACCTGTCATGTATAGTATAGGAGACATGGTGTGTTACACCTGTCACATATAGTATAGGAGACATGGTGTATTATACCTGTCACATATAGTATAGGAGACATGGTGTATTACACCTGTCAGGTTTAATATAGGAGACATGGTGTATTACACCTATCAGGTACAGTATAGGAGACATGGTGTATTACACCTGTCATGTACAGTATAGGTGACATGGTGTATTACACCTGTCAGGTACAGTATAGGAGATGTGGTGTATTACACCTGTCAGGTACAGTATAGGAGACATGGTGTATTACACCTGTCAGGTACAGGGTAGGAGACATGGTGTATTACACCTGTAAGGTACAGGTTAGGAGACATGGTGTATTACACCTGTCATGTACAGTATAGGGGACATGGTGTATTACACCTGTCATGTATAGTATAGGAGACATGGTGTATTATACCTGTCACATATAGTATAGGAGACATGGTGAATTACACCTGTCAGGTTTAATATAGGAGACATGGTGTATTACTCCTGTCAGGTACAGGTTAGGAGACATGGTGTATTACACCTGTCAGGTATAGTATAGGAGACATGGTGTTTTACACCTGTCGGGTACAGTATAGGAGACATGGTGTATTACACCTGTCAGGTACAGTATAGGAGACATGGTGTATTACACCTGTCAGGTATAGTATAGGCGACAATATGACCTAATGTGTCATTTACATTTATGTATTTGCATATCAAAATATTTTCAATGATCTCCCTAAAAAATGATGACAGCATCAGTACATGACATAATGTATAGTGTTCTATTATATATAGTGGTTACCATCAAGTGGTTTTTCTTTTCATGCTGTAGACTGTAATGTGACAGTGACCAGCATGCTGAGACAGGAGAAGTTTTTAAAGAACACACTCAAGCAGCTAGAAAGTGACCCGGATAAGGTAAAATCCTAAAAGCTAGGTTTCTGCTGTTTTTGCATTATTGTACTTGTATGAATGATGTAAGTAAGTATGTTTATTGTCAGCAGCATCAAATTTTAAGAAGCTCTAAACTTTCCCTAAAACTACTAATTAAATCAGTCTAAAACAAAGTGCCAGAGGAATAGAAAACTGTTTTGCAATTACAGCCGGACTATGTATTCCTTGTGGAATCCATCTGCGTTCCAATTGCCATCCAATTCGCTGAACTCTTTGCATGGACGTTGGATCTCCCACTTTGCATAGTTTTGCACTTGATGTGAGTCTGTCAAAAGTAACTGTCATAAAGCTAATATTTAGTCAACCACCTGTCACTTATTGTTTGTAATGTATCATATTATTTGTTTACAATCCCTTGCTCAGGAAAATCTTGTGACAGTAGACTTGTCCTGTATTCACAGAAAGAAATTGCATGGCCCTGATTCAGCTTATTACTTCTTATTCTAGCGTAATAGTATTTTCAGACATATCAAAATGCAATGAGTTTGTCCTGTAAATTGTATTGTTTGCATTTGATTAAAGCCATAATAATACTTAACAGCGAAAAAAAACCCACCATGACATTTATGTTAAAAATGCTAAAAATTGTTGGAATCAATCTTTGATCATAGGTAAAATGTCATAGACATCTCAGAAATTGACATTTTGGTACAACATAACATGTATTGTATCAGCTCACCTGGTCCGAAGGGCAATGTGAGCTTATGCCGTACTGAATAAGGGCATCACATTACTGCATGGTTTTGTTTTGTAATAGTCTTACGGCCCATCGACTTGGCCGAGAGTTTATACCATTCATGAAAATCATATCATGCTTGAAAAGTAAACATTGCCTGAGATCTTTTTCATCATTCTTGAGAACACTGCCTGAGATTTTGTACCGTGCTTGAGAACATTGCTTGAAATTTTATACCATGCTTGAGAACACTGCCTGAGATTTTGTACCATGCTTGAGAACATTGCCTGAGATTTTGTACCATGCTTGAGAACATTGCTTGAGATTTTGTACCATGCTTGAGAACATTGCTTGAGATTTAGTATCATGCTTGAGAACACTGCCTGAGATTGTATACCATGCTTGAGAACATTGCTTGAGATTTTACATCATGCTTGAGAACATTGCTTGAGATTTTATACCATGCTTGAGAACATTGCCTGAGATTTTGTATCATGCTTGAGAACATTGCCTGAGATTTTGTATCATGCTTGAGAACATTGCCTGAGATTGTATACCATGCTTAAGAACATTGCCTGAGATTTTGTACCATACTTGATAACATTGCTTGAGATTTTGTACCATGCTTGAGAACACTGCCTGAGATTCTTGTACCTTGCTTGAGAACATTGCTTGAGATTTTGCATCATGCTTGAGAACACTGCCTGAGATTTTTGTACCTTGCTTGAGAACATTGCTTGAGATTTTGTACCATGCTTGAGAACATTGCTTGATATTTTATACCATGCTTGAGAACATTGCCTGAGATTTTGTATCATGCTTGAGAACATTGCTTGAGATTTTATACCATGCTTGAGAACACTGCCTGATATTTTATACCATGCTTGAGAACATTGCCTGAGATTTTTGTATCATGCTTGAGAACATTGCCTGAGATTTTGTACCATGCTTGAGAACATTGTCTGAGATTTAATATTATGTTTGAGAACATTGCCTGCGATTTTGTATCATTGAATGAGGAAAATATAGTTCCTATCAATTTGTCATGTCTAACCTGTTATCCCATACACTGTAATTAATTATGTTTGAGAAAAATGTGAATTGTCAGAGAATGTGTCATGCTTGAGAACATTGCTCAAGAATATTTATCATGCTTGGGTAATATATAGTTCCTGTGAATTCATGAATTGATTTAAGTACTTGTTCTCGAATGTATATCAATAATCGTGTTGACATCTATAATTACTTTATTTCAAATTTAACCTTTTACATTTCATTATTTTCCATGTCCAAATATCTGACTAACGCTGCTTCCTTTGAACAACTTCTCCTGAAGAACTGGAGGACCTAGGGTCACAACATTTGACCTGTAGGTAGATGGGATGAAGTGCTATAAAGTTTCCTAATTAAAATGACTTTGACCTACTCTCAAGGTCATAGGGGTCAGATATATTAAAAAATTCAAACAACATTTAAAGGACCATAAGGACTTAAGTCATGATACTTGGATATGTTATGTACTCCAGCAGTGCAAATATTTTTCTTCATAACATCATAACAGTAATGAGGTCACAGGTCAGCTTTAAGTGCTAATCAGGGGTCAAAGGTCAACATGGGTTAAAAGCTTTAAAGATCTTCTTCTCAAGTTCCATAAGGCCCAGGGTCATGACATTTGGTCAGTAGGTACCTGGGATGGAATGCTCATTAAAATGACCTTGACCTATTTTCAAGGTCACAGGGGTCAAATATTTGAAAAACTTCAAACAACAATATCCTTAGAACCATTTGGACTAGAGCCATGATACTTAAGTATTTTATGTAGACCAGCTGTGTTAATCTTTTACTTAATTACAGTAATTAGGTCAAAGGTCAACTTTAACTGCCAGCCAGAGTCAAAGTTCAACTGCTTCTCAACCGAGGGAGGCAACTATTCTTGCTATCACACTTATCCTTTCTTGTTTTGTAGGTTTTAAGAGATATAGAACAATTACGCCAAACCATCACAAGACCAAGTAACCTGAGAATACACCTGTCGGCTAATGTAGAAAGTCTGATACCATCACCTCAATCACCGTGGATACAGTTTGTACCTAGTGACATCACAGATGTACCAATGAGGTAAGCATATATAGCCTTGAAAATCTTACACACAGTGAAATAATTTATTTTTGAGATGGTTGTATAATATGTGGTAACATATTTAGTCATGCTATAGGTATTACTATTAAGTTTGTTGCATTAGTTCAGTACTGGCATGAAGTTTACCTATTTCAGTGACTATAAGACTAACATACCTGACCTTTGTTTGTTTCAAGGACCAGTGACCGAATCAAAGCTTACATACAATGAAAGATACTTGGATGATCTGTTACAGTACCTGTATGAATCATACATACTGAACCTGTATAGGTACTTTCTAAGCCTGTTTTAGTACCTATGTAAAGCTGACTTAACTGTATGACCTCTTTTAAGGGACCTTTGTTTGTTTCAAGGACCAGTGACCGAATCAAAGTTTACATACAATGAAAGATACTTGGATGATCTGTTACAGTACCTGTATGAATCATCCATAATGTACCTGTATATGTACTTTCTAAGCCTGTTTTAGTACCTATGTAAAGCTGACTTAACTGTATGACCTCTTTTAAGTGCCTGTAGGAAGCTATATATATATATGCCTGTATAATCCCCTTGAACTGTGTTTTAGTGGCTGCATGAAGCAAACATACGAGTATAACCTTGGGTACGATGAGAGCCCGGAGACGTGTGTGATCATGGGGGTTGGATCAGTCGAGTCATCTTACCTGATACAGGTCGTACCCAGCATCTCATCCTTCATGGATGCTGACCTCCCAGCTGTACTAGTCTTCATACAGTACATGACACAATGTGAAGGTCCCATGTGGCGCCAGATCCGGGGGCTGGGGCTCTCATATCACTATGGGTATGTATATATTCAGTATCCAATCACTATGGGTATACCCCAGTATACACATCTTGTGTTCACTTAATGAGGTCATGATGTTATGTATAAAACTAGCAAGCAATGTTTAAACAGAACTGTGAGATATTCTTCAATACATCTAGGCGTAATTGTTCAAATCAATGATAAGCCAAATAGCACTCCAAAACCGCAGCCAGTCAGAGATGTTTAATATGTTTACACATTCCGCCCCTTAGAAGATGTTAAAATGTGGTCATAAAGATGACTCGGCTCCACTAAGGGGTGGAATGGGTAAACATATCACATGTTCCTCTGACAACCTGCAGTATAACAGTGCTATTTTGCGAAATGTCTCAAAACTTTCTGCCAGCTAATTACTTCATTGACTTCACATGTTATGGCATAGTGAGTGGTTTAAATTTTACATTAAAAAAATATGTGCGTATTCAATTTTACTGAGTCAGGCAAATCACGAAACAAGATTGAATCCGTAAGTTTTGTAGAGTGTATAAGAAATAATACCAAACATTGATGACAATGATGATGCATCAGAATTACGTGATATCTTGCAGGATAAGTGTTGATGCAGAGAAAGGTCTGCTGAAGTTTCTCCTGGCTCGGTCAACAAACATCACAGGGGCTTACAAGGAAGGAAGGAATATTGTGGTAGGCATTTTTATACAGTAATGAGAAGTGAAGTATGAACGCTAAATTGGTTAACCTAAGATATAACTACCATGTTTCCCTGATGAAATATACGCTATCAAGGCATAAGAAACCAAAAGTGTCTTTTCTATGAGAAATATTACTGGTAACAATCAAAATAAAAGTTTTATTGTCTCTGCTAAATATTAAATAACAATTAGTTGCCACTGGTTTTAATAAAGCATTTTCGAATTTAAGTGCAGAACTTATTGGTTCTGGAAGAGAAAAATTTTTGCAGAGGAGACTGAATTGTGATCCTGTTTCTAATTTTACTGTGACAAAATTTATCATTCTGTATATAGATGGGATATGTGAACGGAGAAACACGGTTCTCCGCAGTGGAGTTGGAGTCGGCCAGAAGCAGTCTGATATTTGAGATAATTGAGGAGGAGAAGACGGTATCTGGTGTATCCGAGCTCTCCATGCTGTCTTACTTCAGGGGGACAAGTCTGTCCTACAACAAGTAAGTGTACATTCCATAGGGGAAAAGGAATGCTATGATTATCATTTGTTACCTAAGAATCCTCTGCCTATTATGACAAAACCGAGGAAAAATAATGTTTTATATCTACATCTGTCCCTTCTGTCAGCCTGATTCGTTTCTGTAAAACACAAATTAATTGAAAGGTCTGATCACTATAATTATAAATTTTGAATGTGATATATTGAATTTGCAACCAATTACTTATAAATGCTCATGTCCTGCTGTTAACAGGGAGTTGTTGTCAAAGGTTGCCAAGGTTACCGTAGCTGACCTCCAGAGAGTAGGTCCCAAGTACATTTCACCACTGTTTGATGTGACCAGGGCTAGGACTGCTATCTGTTGTCATCATACCAAAGTGGATGAAGTAAAGACAGATTTTAGTCAGTAAGTATCAAGGTGGCTGACATAACATCACTTCTTGTTGGCAATTCCTAATATATTCCAAATCTTACCCGTTAGTTCAAAGTTGGTTTAGCAAAGACCCAAAGTCTGCTAATGAAGGGAAGCTGTGTGGCTGAGACTAAGGGAGAAAATCACATTGAGACTGACTTTAGTATGCTTAAAAAATGGAGAGTGTGTGGCTGAGACTGGCCCCAGAGCCCACTTGTATAAAACATCTCAACTCTTGAGATTTCCTCAGGTCTAAGATTTCCCATAGACAATACATTACTTGAGATTTTCCTTAACTTTGAGATGTTTTATACAAGTGGGCCCAGGTCTGCTAACAAAGAAAGATAATCACATTGAGACTGATTCTTTAGGTCTGCTAACGAAGGGAGACAATCACATTGAGACTGACCCTTTAATATGCTTACAAATGGAGAACTTGTGGCCGAGACTGGTCCCCAGGTTTGCTAACAAAGGGAGATAATCACATTAAGACTGACCCTTCAGTATGCTTAAAAATGGAGAATGTGTGGCTGAGACTGACCCAAGGGGCCTGTTCGTATATTCGGGACAACCAGTTTGACTGTTTATAAATGTAACAATTTCTTGTATAAACCCTGACTGACCTGCAAATGTGTATGCAGGCCTTGCAAGGCTCACCTGAAAGCAGCATCAGATAACTAGGTCCGACCTTATTTAATAAACAAACAACAGTGGTCCAACCGGTTTGACCGTTTAAACGAAAAAGGCCGAAGGGAGATAATCACATTTAGACTGACCCTTTAGTATATGCTAACAAATGGAGGGTGTGTGAAAGAGGCTTGCCTATTGAATTTGCTATCAAATGGGAGGCGAGAGAATGAGGCAGACTTGTTATAACAAGGGTTGATAATGTGACCCAGACTGATCTAAATTTGGTATCAAAAGGATGGCATTAGGCTTAAACTGACCTTTTATTCTGCTATCGACTTTTTAAAAACTTTTCCAATACTAAAGTTATGTATTTTGCAGCAAATTTGATTAATTTTGATAAATATTGAGATAAAAATCATATCCTATTATTTATGTTGCCAATATCTATGACGACAGTGACGTAGATGACATTGATCTATTTACTGGGGATTGTCTGAAATAAGACTTCCTGGATATACACTTCCAATATGATATTTGAGAATGACCTTTTTAGCCTACCAATGTTACTGCTGGAATTCGGTGCTGATGAATTAACATTGCCTCATGTTGTCCGTAAAAAATGGACACTTGAAAGTTTTAACACATTTACGAAACCAGTAAGATATGATGTTGTTTGTCCTCTTGCTATATTTGAGATCTGCTATTTATGGGCGGATGGTCGAGTGGTTCACACTCCGGCCTTCCACGCAGGCGGCCAGGGTTCGATCCCCAAAGTCGTTGTACGCATGGATACTCAGAGAAAGTGTTTTTCTCTTGCCCACACAACTCCAACAACCCAGGTGGAGTATAAATTGGTCTGGGGTGGATGTTTCGGTATCTGTGCTGTAGCATTCAAGTGAGGTGGCACTGCAAACAGAATGCATTACATCTCCAGCACACACGCAGACATACACACATGGGAGATATTAGCCAGGTGGCATAGGACTAGCATTTAGCGCCTGATAAGGCAACTCCTGCGAATTCCTCAAAATTGAATTGATTAATGTATATGCTAATTGTATTAATTGTGTATCTATGTACTGTAAAGTGCCTCAGAGTGGCTTATGTTAGCTAGATAGCTGGGCGCTTTATCAAATGTTGTAAATTTAATTATTTATTTATTACACCAATCATATATTTGTAAGGGATTCTTATTTCAAAGTTTGTTAAGAAAATCCTAAGGGAAGTAGCCTGTCAGAGCGGGATGAGTTTTCACAGAAATCTATTGAAAAACAGAACATATACTGAATGCGCTGTTTACCTTCCCATTTTCTCTTCAGAATGGGCCTTAACCTGAAAGTGCTGCCATCCCTAGAGGAGGACTTCCTGTGTGGCTATTAAGCAATAGACATTGGCAGACTCAGGATCTTGACGGAGGACATCCTATCCTTGGTAGCCTTCTTTCTTGACAAAGCCTTGCAAGGCCTGCATAAACGTTTGAAGGTCCGCCAGGCCTTTTGTATTATGTGGTACACACCAAGACTTTAGACATGAAAGTGCTGCCGTTCTTGGAGAAAGACTGATTATGTGGGTATAAAATGGAAGACATTAAGAGACTTGGTACCTCAGAGGAGGACTTCCTATGTGTGTGTTAGTAGTAGACATTGGAAAACTTTGAACCTCCAGGTGCAGTCATTCCTGCAGGAGGAATTTGCATGTATTCAGTGAAAGACATCAGAGACTTTAGTCCAGAATGAGCTGTCAACTCTAAAGGTCTTCTGGTTCTTAATTGTGGCAGTGGACATCAGGAGACTTACACACATACACACATGCCTTCTATACAAATTTTTCTTAAATATGTCTATGACACTTTCATGGATACAACCTCTGCCAAACTATCAGAACTTCATGTGAACTTGTGAAGACTGGTGAGGCAATATTACAAAATAAACTGTGTGTATAATTTTACAAGTATCCCAAACGATTGAGATACAACTAAATGGGAGCCAATAAAATAATTATGCAATTTCAGTGCTACATATATATAAAGTAAAACTTCATGAAGAAAGAGCCAAGGTTATTGCAATATTCCCAGGTTGTTCGTTGTTGTGTTTGTCGCGGAGTCACCTTTCCAGTCAGACTGGTCATGTCATGTATCGTTTAAAAAAAACTACAGGTTGTTGTAGGGGTATTAAAAAACACCTTTTAAAATGCGCAGAATAATTTTTCATATTTCCTTTTTACATAATTACCAGGTGATTACTTTGTAAATACATTTCGAACATACACTAAACCGTTGTTGTTTTTGTGTTTGATGGGATTCTGCAAAATATTCACCACACAATTTAGAACTAATAACACATTTTGTTATCAAACTTTCAAAGTCCAACCATCAACAGCCTGAAAGATGTATATATATAGACATTGTCATAATACAGTTAGCATTCTGTATTACTCTGATCAGTTGTTACAAATATAGAAAGATATATTCATTTCAACTATCAAAGGATATTGCATATTGTGGTGAATCTTTTAGCTGCATGTAAATATATTTGCCGTAGTATGTTTATGTAAATTTTTGAGTGCTTACTGCCATCCAGCACTAGCTAGTGCCAGCTCTGGTAATCTTAACTCCTGGACTCAGTTGCAATCCAACACCAGCTCTGGTAATCTTAACCCCAGGACTTGGTTGCAATCCAGCACCAGCTCTGGTAATCTTAACCCCAGGACTTGGTTGCAATCCAGCACCAGCTCTGGTAATCTTAACCCCAGGACTTGGTTGCAATCCAGCACCAGCTCTGGTAATCTTAACCCCAGGACTTGGTTGCAATCCAGCACCAGCTCTGGTAATCCTTACCCCAAGACTTGGTTGCAATCCAGCACCAATATATGAATGTAAGAAAAGCATTGGATCCATCAACCTTTTGAAAAACATGAGGTCCATAGAGCCTGTACCACTCACATGTTTAATTGGTTATCTGTTAGCCCAAGTGGAGCTTCAGTCTTCTTAGCAACTTTTTATTGATTGTTATAGGGTGAGGATCTGGACCATTTCTAAGTTGTGATTTGGGACTAAATCACAGAGGCAAGGCCAGATCTGGCGCCAATCATATTAGTATTATTTTGTTCATATGGTTAGTGGGTAAGAATGTTAAGTTCTTATGTCATGATCCAGGGAATAATTTCCAAAGGGCGTGGCTAGACCACCGAGTCAATCTTGATGACATAAGTGTATTCATCTTGTCATGCCTAGCAATTGTATATTCATGTATATGGTTATAGGATTTGACCAACTTTTATATTGTAATTGGTTTTTATGTCCTTACTGTCAATAACGCTGAGGATTTGACATTCTTGGAGTTATTATGTGTCCATTAGGCGACTACCTGTCTCAGATTTTGTGACTTTGTGAGTCTACGACAAGGCGTCACTACCTGTTCAGGGTGTTTAGTATGTCTGTCCTGGCATGATAATGTTAGTCACTTGATCTTTGTATCAACTCATACTTACATCAGCGGGCTTAACAATGATCGTTCATAACTAACTTTTTCTATATGTTCTGTCATAGTGAAAGCTCTTCGGAGCTGATGTTTCTGTGTTATATATATGACAAAAATGAAGTACTTCACCTTTTAGTACATAAAATGTTACCAGTGTTCACTTTAACTTTTTCTAATCATGTGGCATGTCCTAAATTAGCAATTTGTTCAATATAAGTCACCTATCGGCCATAACAGAGTGGAAAATTCATTTGCATTCATTTTCTGACCTTCCATTCCAATTTTTTTTTGATCCTATCCCCTTGAAGAACACCTTGACCTTTTCTTATACCACTTGCTATACCCTTGTATGAAACTTGATGCGACATATTTCTGAGAAATACACCAACAAAATGTCAGTTTGATGTCAAATAATTTACTAGGTACATCATTGTTTCATAACCAAAATTAAAAATAAACAACACTGTCATATTGTAAGAAATTGTTTTATTCAGCAGAAAATCTAGGTATAACTGTTTGATTGGTAGTGAGTGAGTCAGTGACTCAGTGAGATAATGAATGAGGACAGACACATTTGTCACCGACATATATAAGGCAATACGGGGCAGATACACTCCTTCGGTATTCACGTGAATGTACCGGGGGCGATACTTGTTGTAGATAGATCACAGACAGTGCTGGCAAAGCTTGTCTTACTGTGGGTATACAACACCTCACAAATGGTCAGCCATCGTGTGAACAACTATCGCTACTTGATCAATGGCTAGTGGTCAGTTGGTCGGTCATCCCTGTAATATCGCTTCATGTTGTCATGATGTTTGTTGACTAAATGTGTCCAATATCAATCAACCTCCCGGCCACGTCACAACATGCTGAACACAAACTTTACAACAAAAGTTGTTCGCATCGACATTATAACTAACATGTAACGGGTAGAGTGGTAGTCTTTGCAAACAGGGTAAATGTATATAAGTCTTTCAGCTCTGAACAACTCTGTTTGATCATTGTTGCACCACGTATATTGCTGCCTTGTTATTCGAAAGTTTTGTAACATGGGAAAGGTGGTGATACAGGATATTTACAGGGATACCCGACAGATGAATCCCATTCTTCAGTGATCCATAGATTTGTTGCATCTGTGTGTATAGCACTTATAGCAACAAACAGCTTTTGACCAGTGTAGAAGCAGGATCAGGTGAACCTACGATGGCTGACGGAACAGACAGAATACGTCATGATTGATAAAAGATTACAATGTATCTTTGAGCAAAAATGAAATCTCTTTTTATTAAAAAAATGTAAAAAAAAGTCTAAATACTATTTATTGATCTAATAGAGGAATACATTGTAAGATAGTCAACTAGTAAGAGATATATAATATGAAAAAAGTGAAATTCTGAGGAAGTACATGTATTATGTATAAAATGATACGATTGACATTCATGAAGGTCAATGTGAGATATGACCTTAATAAAGGACATACAATTGTTTATTTTTTCTTCTGAAACATTTTATCTAAAAGTTAATGTCATAGAGTCTGCTATTACACAAAAATCTTAACCTTCATGTTATAGTACATAGAAAGACTAGTGAAATAGTTTTAATGGAAATGTTGTGATTTCCCAGCATGTTGTGTCCTTATATATGTCGGAAGCATACTGGCCCGATCTCATAACCAAAGCCTTGCCCTGCATCCCCGTAGTCCTTGGGAGTAAAGTCTACAATTGGTAAGTCCTCTACCACCTTTGTGTCGACGACAAAAACTGTGCTGCCACTAGCAGGCTTGTTCTGAAACATCAAGGATATATTTTATTGCATTGGCTTCCTAAAAATACCAAGTAATTATTGATTCATTCATCATGTAAACCATACAAATCGTCCGTAGTTAAGACAATATCTGTTGGTAGGAATTTCACTAATTGTAGCGTTGACTTTCATCTTAAATATGATCAAACGTGATGTTACATTGCATGTAAACTGACATAATAAAAATGTCTAAAGTTGGCATCAGATCGACGCTATCGCAAGCAGGTAAAAACACGGACATATCGCACCCAGCACACACACGTACATTACACAAATAGAGCGTTCTCCTTATATGACCTTAACTGTTAATAGGACATTAAACACAATAAACCTAACAAACAATCATGTCATCCACTATACACAGCATAACTCCAACAGTTGCTTAAACTCACCTTACAGCCGTCCTTAACATTTTCTGCAGCGAGATTTTCAGTGTTAATGCGTTTATTGTCACTTCCCATAAAGGTGATGGCACTGTTGTAGTTATTGTTTTCCTCATTGAACCAGGCCAAGGAGTTCTGGCAGTGGTATGTAAATGTCTGGTGAGCTGTTGAACTGTAGAGACCCAACATCTTCTGTTGGTGACCAATTGTGTACTCAAACTGCAACCAAATATACAGCACATCATGCATGACATCCAATTATACCATGACTAGATGTCAAATATGTCTGTGTTTATATGGAGTGTTTCGTAGAAAATGAGTAATGTTTTATAATAGATCCAGTGGTGAAATTATAATTAAGCTTGATAGTACTCTTTGTCTTAAATCATTCACCACTGAAATTTCATAACGAACTTTATTCCAACATTTGAATTGGAAGAGTTCAATTGTGTCTTCAGGGGTGAATGAGTTAAATAAATTGCTTTTATTTTTTATACATCAAGAAGCTGTACACAGGATCTTACATGAGTTTCCATTTCATATGAGACTTATGAAACAAGTCTTAGAATTTTTCAATTTAGTGAGCCTCTGGGGAGCTAAAATGAGAAATACATGACGAGTTTCATAATTTCCAAATAAAATGAAAACAAGTGTAAGATCCTTTTTTATCACATAATCAAGATTTGTGGCATTTATCGTGTAAAACGACAATTTTCATGCAACCTTGAAATGTAAAAAAAACACGCCATTTTGACTCTAGTGCGTAAGTCTGCGACGTAATGTAATTGTCATAGGCATGACCTCACAATTGAAACTTACAACCAATCACAGCACTGATAGGTCATATTACATGGGTTAATACACAAAAAAAATATGATATGTGTATATTCACTGGATAATAACACAGTACATCATGTGATAAAACCATATATTGAAATGATAAAGAAACATAACATCATAACAAGTTACCTCATAGCCACTCTTCATTTCACTGAATAACTGGTTTCCTCTCTTTGTTCTCTTCCAGAATTGTGAAGGAGCCTAAAATTAAAACAAGGCATATTTTAATGACAAAAAAATAAGATACAACATATGTATCCAGTAGGTTAATGTGTGGAATTAGCAGACTTCACTGCATCAACGCTTAAACCCTTACACAACCTCCTTGCCACATATCAGAAATCTAATACTAATAATGCAGGTTAAATCTATAGTGAATCATAACACTTGCACCAAAACTTAACCTCGATTTCCATGCGGCATACATTATCAAGTCCAAAACGGGTGGAAAATCACACCCTACTCCGAAAAAACAACATTTTGTTTTTATGTTTTGAATAAACTGCATCAAAGTGGGATCCCTGGGGAACACAATACCAACATATCAGCATGTTAGTACTGACATTGAAGGTTTTATGAATAAATGTAAAAAATACTCATGTAAAAACTTTTACCTTGAACGCTGGCACTGGGGTTACTTCTTATAGGGACTCTTATTGTTCGGATAGGCAAGCTTATGAAAGTTTTATATACATGTATGTATCATTGCTATAACTACATATTGGACAATTAATTCTCAAGTATACCTTCAATCTTCAGCTAATATATGTCATAAGCAATCATCACAAGTGGAACATCAAATTTCTCCCATGAACTCACAAAGGGCTGCCAACAATGAAACTTACAACAGCTATGGGAGGAACATGTACCTAGGTGTGATTGGAAACATAATGAAATATTTATCATTAAATTGCTATCCTTACCATGGATCTGATTGATTAATGGGAGGTTCCATTCATGCACCTACCGTGTTTGTTGTGTCTGATGGGTAGAAGCATGATTCACCTCCAGCAGTCATGTTACAGTATACACGGATAGCATCGTCGGGAGCACCTTGGTTAGGATCAATGAAGTAATAACCTGTGAAAAAAAGAAAAAAAGGAAAGTTTTGTACCACAGCTACTATTTGTAACAACAGAACAGATGTAGATTTGAACCTCATTAGCTCAATCAATTTTTAGAAGAAAAAAAAAATTTTGAATGACATTTTTTGGATATCTATGAAGATTTTAACATACTTTCCTTTTATTTTTATACATTTGAAGTTAATAGCAAGCCATTCGGATTAATGTATCTTGCCTGTGCCCCACTTTGAGGGTCAATGCACATGTCAAGTTTGGTTGGTCTAGCACTAGAGATACTAATTTAACACAAAAACTTCTTGTTGATGGAGATGCTGACAAAGTCAATGGACAGTGAAAGGTAGGCCACATCCAGCGTTCGGTGCATCGGTTGAGATGTACTATCTAAGATGCACATATGGTCCAAGTTTGGTTGGTCTAGCACTGATAGTTTTAGTGAAACTAACTTAAACGCAAGAACTTAATGTTGACTCCGCTGTCGCTGGAAAAGCAACACCTTAGTCTCGCTTCTGGTACTTCATAGCAGCGAGACAAAAATGAACAATATTATTGTGGAAATCCTTGGTTTATCGTTAAGCACCCTATTTAATCTCAAGGAAATTATTGTAAAGTAATTAACATTAAAGAGATAACTGAAGTAACATTGAATACAACTACAAGAGAGTGGGAGCAGCCTTGCTCAAGCATATCTTACCATGTGATAACCTTTTCTACCTCCGCATATGTGTGAGTGTGTGTGCGTGTCAGAGGTTGTAAAGGTGTTCTGCTTGCTAATGGGTCAGTATTTTGTAAAGGTGTTCTGCTTTTTATGGGTCAGTATTTCTAACTGCTCACCTAAGCAGGAGAGTCGAGCCATTTCCACAATCCAGATAGCGAATTGTTTATATTGTTTTAATTAGAATTGACCGATATTCATGTAAAACTGAAGCAAAGATGAGAAAAACATTTAGTTGACATGACTTTACCATCTTGTGAGTCTGGATGTCCAAGAAGGATGTCGCGGCAGGTGGAGGCTGGGTTTCCTTGTTTGCCAGTTGGATAGATCATGCGTTCCATTTCCTCCTTGATCTCATCTACATGACTGAACATCTGTTCCACTACAATCGTGACTCCTTCCTTTAATTCATACTCATTCTTGGACATATCTGCCAGCATATCAGTAAACTGATCATTGAAACCTGAGACACCTGCTGCCCTCCTCTTTCTGTAACCAGTACCGGCTTTCGACATTGGAGCTCCTAGAAGTTCTGATGGGAAAGCCTGCGCCTCTCCTGGGGCTCCAGCTGGTCCTGGTGGTCCCTGTAACGGCAGTACAGATAGGTGATGAGAACTTAGATCACATTTAAGTCTTAGCATGTCCACCTTACAATGTTTACATATATGCATTACTTTTGTATTCTGCTGATATTCAATGTATAAGATATAATAATTTGAGTTATCTCTGAATCAGGTAGGCAGAGTTAGTTCATCTCTTTGAAAGAAGACTTTTAATAAAGACAGTAGAGAAACTGTGGTCATTTGAATGTTTATACGTTATGAAGAGGTATTACTGTGTGTTAAATCACTACTTACTCTGTGTCCCAACCCTCCTTTAGGACCAGGAAATCCCTGTCAAATAAAATACAGAAAAGTTTACCACTGGATTGAACAGGTCAACAGTTAAATGTTTAGTTTATATATTCATATCTATTCTAATTCAAAAGACACTTTCAATAAAATATAGATGAACATCTTTTTCTCTCTATAATAACTGTACTTACTGATTCTCCCTTTGGTCCTGATGGTCCAATCGATCCCTATAATATAAATGAAGAAACAAGACAAATTAGTGAATAATTCAAATCAGAAATCCAAGTGCTGTTGGCAAACACATGAAGCAATTTTACTGTATGAGGTCCAGTGGATGGTGAAATAAAATAACTACCACATAAATAGAATTATATGTCACAGTAAATGGTGTTAATTTGTACAACATTTCATACTACTTGTCACAATAGATNATACAGCAGTGTCAATTACTGTGATATACAGCAGTGTCATCTGCTATGACATACAGCAATGTCATTAACTGTTACATAGAGAATGTGTCATCTACTGTGACAAACAGTATACAGTCATCTACTGTGATATACAGCAGTGTCAATTACTGTGATATACAGCAGTGTCATCTGCTATGACATACAGCAATGTCATTAACTGTTACATAGAGAATGTGTCATCTACTGTGACAAACAGTATAGTGTCATCTACTGTGATATACAGCAGTGTCATCTGCTATGACATACAGCAATGTCATTAACTGTAACATAGAGAATGTGTCATCTACTGTGACATACAGCAGTGTCACCTACTATGACATATAGCAGTGTTAATTACTGCGACATACAGAATAGTGTCATCTACTGTAACATACAGTATTGTTACACCTCAAGTGAATTTCTAGCTATTTAATAGGTTGGGAGAAAATTAAACAAAAAATTCTGTCACCCTCCGAAAATACATTGGTTTTAAGGGGCGCGGGTAATATTGCCATGAGACAGTGAAAAATATCACATGCGCGAAAAATGTGCGTTCACCGCTTCGTTTCCCCACCATGATGGTCACAAGAACGCCGATGCGATAGTGATTGTAAACAGCAGACTATCAACAAACAAGAGGTCATTATCGAGGTTTGCTGCCATTCCTGAGCTTCAAAGACTTTTGGTGTAACAAAATAGATATGACATTCATTAGCAGGTGACAGTGAATATTGTCAACACTCAAAAACCCATTGTCACCCTCGGCGAATATTAGGTGACACTACTGTATGTCACATTAGGTGATACTACTGTATGTCACATTAGGTGATACTACTGTATGCCATGGTAGGTGATACTACTGTATGTCATGGTAGGTGACACTACTGTATGTCACAGTAGATGACACTACTGTTTGTCACAGTAGATGACACTGCTGTATGTCATGGTATGTGACACTATATAAATATGACATTCATTAGCAGGTGACAGTGAATATTGTCAACCCGAGAAAACCATTGTCACCCGAGGCGAACCCGAGGGTGACAATGGGTGTTTGAGGGTTGACAATATTCACTGTCACCTGCTAATGAATGTCATATCTATTTTGTTACACCAAAAGTCTTTGAAGCTCAGGAATGGCAGCAAACCTCGATAATGACCTCTTGTTTGTTGATAGTCTGCTGTTTACAATCACTATCGCATCGGCGTTCTTGTGACCATCATGGTGGGGAAACGAAGCGGTGAACGCACATTTTTCGCGCATGTGATATTTTTCACTGTCTCATGGCAATATTACCCGCGCCCCTTAAAACCAATGTATTTTCGGAGGGTGACAGAATTTTTTGTTTAATTTTCTCCCAACCTATTAAATAGCTAGAAATTCACTTGAGGTGTAACAATACTGTATGTTACAGTAGATGACACTATTCTGTATGTCGCAGTAATTAACACTGCTATATGTCATAGTAGGTGACACTGCTGTATGTCACAGTAGATGACACATTCTCTATGTTACAGTTAATGACATTGCTGTATGTCATAGCAGATGACACTGCTGTATATCACAGTAGATGACACTATACTGTTTGTCACAGTAGATGACACATTCTCTATGTAACAGTTAATGACATTGCTGTATGTCATAGCAGATGACACTGCTGTATATCACAGTAATTGACACTGCTGTATATCACAGTAGATGACTGTATACTGTTTGTCACAGTAGATGACACATTCTCTATGTAACAGTTAATGACATTGCTGTATGTCATAGCAGATGACACTGCTGTATATCACAGTAATTGACACTGCTGTAT